TTGAAAAAGAAGAGCAAAGCAACAGCAAAAGAAGTAGAAGGCAAGAAATAATTAAAATCAGAGCTGAAATTAATGAAATCGAAACAAAAGAAACAATTGAAAAAATTGACAAAACTAAAAGTTGGTTCTTTGAAAAAATAAACAAAATCGACAGACCCTTAGCGATGCTAGCGAAGAGAAGAAGAGAGAGAACTCAAATTACTAGCATACGGGATGAAAAAGGCAATATCACAACAGACACTTCAGAAATACAGAAGATAATCAAAAACTATTTTGAATCCTTATACTCCAATAAATTAGAAGATAGTGAAGGCATAGATAAATTTCTTAAGTCATATGATCTGCCCAGATTGAGTCAGGAGGATATAGAAAACCTAAACAGACCAATATCAATTGAGGAAATAGAAGAAACCATAAAAAGACTACCAACTAAGAAAAGCCCAGGTCCGGATGGGTATACAGCAGAATTTTACAAAACCTTTAAAGAAGAACTAATACCAATACTTTTCAAGCTACTTCAGGAAATAGAAAAGGAGGGAGAACTTCCAAATTCATTCTATGAGGCCAACATCACCCTGATACCTAAACCAGACAAAGACACTTCAAAGAAAGAAAACTACAGACCAATATCTCTAATGAACCTAGATGCAAAAATCCTCAATAAAATTCTGGCGAATCGGATACAAAAACATATCAAAAAAATTGTGCACCATGATCAAGTAGGATTCATCCCTGGGATGCAAGGCTGGTTCAATATACGGAAATCAATAAATGTTATTCACCACATCAATAGACTTAAAAATAAGAACCATATGATCATCTCGATAGATGCGGAAAAAGCATTCGACAAAGTACAGCATCCCTTTATGTTCAAAACTCTAGAAAAACTAGGGATAACAGGAACATACCTCAATATTGTAAAAGCAATCTATGCTAAGCCTCAGGCTAGCATCATTCTGAATGGAGAAAAACTGAAGGCATTCCCTCTAAAATCTGGAACAAGACAGGGATGCCCTCTCTCTCCACTTCTCTTCAACATAGTTCTCGAAACACTGGCCAGAGCAATTAGACAGACGAAAGAAATTAAAGGCATAAAAATAGGAAAAGAAGAACTTAAATTATCACTATTTGCAGATGATATGATTCTATACCTAGCAGACCCAAAAGGCTCTACAAAGAAACTATTAGAGCTAATAAATGAATTCAGCAAAGTGGCAGGATATAAAATCAACACGCATAAATCAAAGGCATTCCTGTATATCAGCGACAAATCCTCTGAAATGGAAATGAGGACAACCACTCCATTCAAAATATCTTCAAAAAAAATAAAATACTTGGGAATCAACCTAACAAAAGAGGTGAAAGACTTATACAATGAAAACTACAGAACCCTAAAGAGAGAAATAGAAGAAGATCTTAGAAGATGGAAAAATATACCCTGTTCATGGATAGGCAGAACTAACATCATCAAAATGGCGATATTACCAAAAGTTCTCTATAGGTTTAATGCAATGCCAATCAAAATCCCAACGGCATTTCTTGTAGAAATAGAGAAAGCAATCATGAAATTCATATGGAAAAATAAAAGACCCAGAATAGCAAAAACAATGCTAAGCAAGAAGTGTGAATCAGGCGGTATAGCGATACCAGACTTCAAACTATACTACAGAGCAATAGTAACAAAAACAGCATGGTACTGGTACCAAAACAGGCGGGTGGACCAATGGTACAGAATAGAGGACACAGAAACCAATCCACAAAACTACAACTATCTTATATTTGATAAAGGGGCTAAAAGCATGCAATGGAGGAAGGATAGCATCTTCAACAAATGGTGCTGGGAAAACTGGAAATCCATATGCAACAAAATGAAACTGAATCCCTTTCTCTCCCCATGCACAAAAGTGAATTCAAAATGGATCAAGGAGCTTGATATCAAATCAGAGACGTGCCGTCTGATAGAAGAAAAAGTTGGCTACGATCTACAGTCGGTGGGGTCGGGCTCCAAATTCCTCAATAGGACACCCATAGCACAAAAGTTAATAACTAGAATCAACAAATGGGACTTACGCAAACTAAAAAGTTTTTTCTCAGCAAAAGAAACAATAAGAGAGGTAAATAGGGAGCCTACACCCTGGGAACAAATCTTTACTCCTCACATTTCAGATAGAGCCCTAATATCCAGAGTATACAAAGAACTCAAAAAATTAGACAATAAGAGAACAAACAACCCAATCAACAAATGGGCCAAGGACCTGAACAGACACTTCTCAGAGGAGGACATACAGTCAATCAACAAGTACATGAAAAAATGCTCAACATCTCTAGCTGTCAGAGAAATGCAAATCAAAACCACTCTAAGATACCATCTCACTCCAGTAAGATTGGCAGCCATTAGGAAGTCAAACAACAACAAGTGCTGGCGAGGATGTGGGGAAAAGGGTACACTTGTACATTGCTGGTGGGACTGCAGATTGGTGCAGCCAATTTGGAAAGCAGTATGGAGATTTCTTGAAAAGCTGGGAATGGAGCCACCATTTGACCCAGCTATTCCCCTTCTCGGTCTATTCCCTAAAGACCTAAAAAGAGCATGCTACAGGGACACTGCTACATCGATGTTCATAGCAGCACAGTTCACAATAGCAAGACTGTGGAACCAACCTAGATGCCCTTCAATAGACGAATGGATAAAAAAAATGTGGCATTTATACACAATGGAGTATTACTCTGCATTAAAAAATGACAAAATCATAGAATTTGCAGGGAAATGGATGGCATTAGAGCAGATTATGCTAAGTGAAGCTAGCCAATCCCTAAAAAACAAATGCCAAATGTCTTCTTTGATATAAGGAGAGTAACTAAGATCAGAGTAGGGACGAAGAGCAGGAGAAGAAGATTAACATTTAACAGGGATGAGAAGTGGGAGGGAAAGGGAGAGAGAAGGGAAATTGCATGGTAATGGAAGGAGACCCTCAGGGTTATACAGTGGAGGAGGTAGAGAGAGAGGAGGGGAGGGGAGGGGAGAGGTGGGGAGGGGGGAGGGGGGAGGATGGGAAAGGCAGCAGAGCACAACAGACACTAGTATGGCAATTTGTAAATCAATGGATGTGTAACTGATGTGATTCTGCAATCTGTGTATGGGGTGAAGGTGGGAGTTCATAACCCACTTGAATCAAAGTGTGGAATATGATATGTCAAGAAATTTGTAATGTTTTGAACAACCCACAATAAAAAATTTAAAAAAAAAAAAGTAGAATTGTGGTTGCTATGGATAAGCAGTAGGGAGTGGGTGGGAATGAGGAGATATTTGTCAAAAGATATAAACTTTCAGATATAAGATGAATAAGTGTTGGAGATCTAATGTACAGCAGGATGACTATAGTTATAATACTTGTATGGCATATTTGAAATTTGGTTAAGATAACAGATCTTTTAAAACATTTTTTTTAGTTGTAGATGAACACAATACCTTTATTTTATTTGTTTATCTGTTTTATGTGGTGTTGAGGCTCAAACCCAGTGCCTCACTCATGCTAGGCAAGCACTCTACCCCAACCCCAAGATAACACATCTTAAGTGTCTTCATAACACACAAACGGTAATTTTGTGAGGTAATAAATGTTAACAAACTTCACTGTACTCATCATTTCATATCATAAACATACATCAAATCAACACATTGTATATATTAAATATATATAACTCTACTTGTCAATTAAAACTCAATAAAACTGGAAAGATAAAAATGGACTTATTCACAAAGGCTGATCTGTCTACAGTCTGTCTACAGAGATCAATGGAATACCTGATGGGGTTCCTGAACCACTTCCCCCATAGAAAAGGCAGAATGTAGTTTTTGCTGGAATATATACTCACTCTGTATATATATTTGTCTTCCCTACTGCAATTCTTCTGCGGAAACCACCATCATTTTATTTACACAGAAACATTGCTTCTAATTCAATGAAATTATTTTGCAGTAAATGAAGTGTAGCAATCAGCTTATGCTCATGGAATTTATTCATTTTGCCATTTTCCCATCATCCTACAGCCAATGGGTAGCAACAAGTGGAATGGGCTTTTGAAGATTAAATAACAGCAATACTTGAGAGGGCTGGAGCAATGTCCTCCAAGATGCTAAATGTACTCTGACTAAATATAGCATTGTTTCTCCCATAGCCAGAGTCACAGGTCAAAAATCAAGAGGTGGAAATGGGAGTAGCTCATTACTATTACCTCAATAATTTACCAGTCAGTTTTCTGCTCTCTATCTCTTTAATCTGTAGCTCTCATGATTTAAAAGTCTGAGTTTCCAAGGGAGAAATACATCTACTAGAAAATAAGCAATGATTCCATACTATGTTGCTTTGATCAAGCTGGGGACCATGTTTGACAGAATCTCTCCTCTACATGCTTGTAAACTAAAGCTGGCCAAAGCAGGAACTGCATATGACTTGGCAGGCAGAGGCAAAGTGGCTGTCATTAGTTTCTAAAAATTCTAGTCCAATGTGGTGACAGACATACACTCACTGCCCAGGGAATCCAGCTCCATATCCAGCTCTATTTCCCAACTACTAAGAGCTGCCCTGGGCCACTACTTGGGTATACACACAGAGCAAAGAGCTTTCCACAGATCTCAAAAGCTTCCCATTTGAAGTCCCACCTCAAGATCTGGATGGTTGGCATCTCAGAATGCATGAAGAGACTCTTATCCACCAATTCCCTTCTGAACCCCATTTCCTCGCACAATTGTGTAAGGTCTAATTCCTACCATAAATCCTATAACTCATGAGTGACTCAGCTCCCCTGGCTGAACCTTGAGGACTCAGGAAATCCAACACTCTGTGTCATTCAGTAGTTCTTGCTTTAGACTATGTGAAAATGAAGGAAAGTCTCAAAAATAGTAGAGAGTGTAGTAAATGTAGACAAGTTGACAGAGTGATAAAGGTGCCCACACACAAAAAAAGAAGAAAGTGGATATCAGTTTTAAGAATCTTTACCTTTGTATTCTTTACCATAATTGGATATTTCATCCCTGAAAAAAAAGAAAAAAGAATTAGCAAAAGGAGGCTACCATTACTTGAAATATAATAGTAACCAATTTAAACAACTTTCTTTTGTCATAACTCAGCCCTACTTTTCATTCTGAAACTTTTTACCAGGTAGCAAGATTAAACTAGTTCATGCTTGACAATATATACCTGACAAGCATGTCTTTTAGCTTGTTTTATTTTAACAAATTTAATCTATGCTTATAAACCATCCTATACCTTGGCTCCAACAGACAGTCCCAGCTTTTCAATGAACCACAGTCCTAGAAATCATGTTGTACAATGCATCATCATAAATCACTACAGAACTATGATATGAGAAACCTTAGTGTCTTGAATGATGATTACCCGATTCCTTGCAAGGTCTGGGTTGTTTAGAAAAGCAAGAGTTATCATGACACAAAAGAATTCCAATAATAAACTAACCATTTATAAAATTTAGTTTCCTCTCAGATACACGGGAGCTTAAAGTTTTATAAAGCAAATGTAGAGCAAATAAAATATATAATCTACCTGTATCATGAATATGACTTATTAAGCTACTTATGTATGATGGCCTTATTTAACAATTTTGTTCATCATCTTAGAATTTAGAACACTGAGAGAATGATTTAGATGGCCTAGATCTCCTTTAAAATCTGTCAAGGAAGAAAGAACTGTACGCTACTTTTTTTCTCCTCCAAACTTCCCTGTAGAAAATAGAGGGCTTCCAAATCTTTCATTTGGTTAAAAGAAAAGAAAAAATATTAATGTCCTCAAAGCAAAACAAAATCAAAGTGCAGTCTAAAGTGGGGCTGTTCCGAATGGCTGAGTTTCCTTACGATCTTAGTTGCCATTCTAGAGCTTGGGTATGTTCAAAAATCACTAACTGCTACCTATTCTGAGGCCTTATCCCCGAATAGTCTGTTTCAATAAGTCTAGGTGATGCCAAGTCTATATTTTTAACAAGCATTACCAGGAGATTCTGACTCTAACCTGTAGGATGGAGAAGCATTTGGGTGCTAATTATCTATAAGCAGTTGTGGCAGTAAAGATTTTAAGCACTAGTCAGAATGTCTAAACAGTGCCTAGTTCTTTCAGCACAAAACCCTCCAAGAGTTCTGGCTCTCCTATGTCCAGTCTCTCCCTTGTTCCTTCTGCACCCCCCTCTCACTCTGCACCCTACTAGCCTATCTCCTGGTGGCCTTCCTACTATACTACCCCAGACAAAAACAATCCCAAGTTTTTGAAAAAGTCAATGAAATTATTCAATAAGAAAAAACAAAGATGGCTTACCATCTATACTTCTTGGAGGGCTTTCTCTAGCCATTTCAATATCTTTTACTTCAAAATTAGTCAAGACAGACCCACCAGCTTCTTGGAAATCCTGGGCAAATGACAAAGCTACCTGCCGATAGTTGACAATGCCAGTATATGGACAATCAATAGCCATTAGACCCTAGGACAGAATTATAAAAAAGTTAAATGATACAAACAAGAATCAGTAAGGTTCATTCAAAATTTTATTTTTGGTTGAATTTTTTTCTTGTTTATTTTGATGGAAAACACACATTAACATTGTTTGACAAAAATCTGATAGTCCAAAAAAATAACAGAGAAGTTTGTTCCATTAAGTGCTTACATTTGTAAATGAGCACATATATATTGTTTTTATCAAAGAAGAGAAATAACACTAGCTAAATAAGAAAATCTCTATTATCAGGAAACAATGCTCCTCTTTAAAGGAAAATTTTTGCCAGGCTCTTCTAGCTGCTACAATGATTTTCCCAGTTTTATTCATCCCCTAACATATATGATTCTGAGTTGAATTCCAAAAAGTTATGTGTAAGCAGACTCTACTGAAATGTCCCCAGTGGTGTATCATACAATGCCCACACTGAAAACAGAGCATCATTCTAGTAGCTATTCACAATATTTGCAAAGCCCTGAATTGACTGCTGCAGTCCTATCTTCAAGACTACAAATATGGAATGGAGATTTTGTGATTAAATCAAACTTTCTCTTTGGGAAATAGGAAGAATTAACAACCTATTTCTTTATTTATGTTTTTGGCCCCAAAAGACATGTCCAAACTCTGTAGATAAATGACCTAAATTCATGCTTATTTTATTCTTTGAAGTAAATGTTGAATGTGCCATTGGCCTTTTCTAAATCTGAAGAAAAGGATTAAGAGTAGAATTTCACACACTAAGTACAAACTACTTCTGGTAATAGCACCTTGGTAATGACACCATTTTCTGTTGCCTTACTAAGTCTATGACTATATCAGTTCTCCAAATATCCTATAAGAGGGTAACTGCTTCCCAGGATAACTAATGTCCAAATGCTGAGTGCAACGGTAAATTTTGCTGTCCTCTTGCTTGGCCAATACAACAAGGTTGTTGCTGTTTTAAAACATTATCTAAGGGGCTGGGGTTATGGATCAGTGGTACAGTGCTTGCCTAGCATACTTGAGACACTGGGTTTGATCCTCAGCACCAATTAAATGTAAAATAAAATATTGTGTCCACCTAAAACTAAAAAATAAATATTAAAAAAAATAAAGTAATCTGAAATAATATTATTTTAAACATCTCACTCTTGAATTCACCACCCAACTCACCAACCTCATTACAAACTTAGCCCTTAAAAGCTTTTGACTTTGCTACCCAGCCTGTACTAATGTTTCTGTGTGACCAGATCATGCTAAGGGTAAAGGCTAACAAAATCAGGCTTTTTTTCACAAACTGAAAGTGACATTTGGCAAACTTCATTGTCATCCTCATAGTCTTATTTCCAGATTATGAGGGCATTTGTTAAATATATCATTCCTTCTGTTTCAATACAAGTTGTTACATGTAAGACTACATTAGCCCTACTCACCACCTCACAATCCCTGAATTACAGGTCAATAGTTATAACTTAATTTTAACCTATATATAGTATTTGGGGTACAATAACTCAGAGAGGTAACTTGGAAACAACTCATCTGTTTTGTTCCTTATTTCTGCTTTCCTTAGTCTTTTTCTTTTTCTTTTTTTTTTTTTTTGGTACTGGGGTCGATTGAACCAAGGGGTGCTTTACCACTGACACACACACACACACACACACATATACATTTTTTTTTTGAGACAGGGTCTTGCTAAGTTGCTGAGAGTCTTGCTAAATTGCTGAGGCTGACCTTGAACTTGCAATCCTCTTGCCTCAATCTCCCTAATTGCTAGGATTACAGGTATGTGCCACCACACTCAGCTATACTTATCCCTTTTCTGCTTCTAGAGCCAACCTCTGCTGATCTAATGGAACACTTTTCATTGGAACTACTGTAATTAGGACATTATGGTAGCAGTAAAAGAAGAAACGGGACAAAACAAAGTTGAGATACATCTACACATATACAGAAAATACACAAAGAAAATACTGCAGGGCAGTGGGAAAATAATGGTCTTTTTGATAAATGGTGCAGAGTTAACTGGATATCTATAGTGGGAAAAAAATTTGCCTTGATCCATATCTCACACCATATTTGAAAGTCAATTCCAAATGATAAAACAATAAAACTTATAGAAAAACACACAAAGTACCTTCCAGACCTTGGAATAGGCAAAAATTTCTCAAACAGAACACAAAAAGCGCTAAACATAAAAGAGAAACATATGTATCAATTGCTAAAATAAGTACATTATGAGCTTCTGCTAAGTAAAAAGACAAGTTACAGGAAGGTAGAAGATATTTGCAATATATATTTAAATATACAAATGACTGCAAATGCATATATGTTGGACAAAAAGTCACATTCTTAAAATTAATAAGAATAATTATAAGAAATACAGTAAACCCAAAAGAAAAATAGGCAAAGGACTCAGGTACTTCACAAAAGAAAATACCCAAATGTCCCATAAATACATAAAAATAAAGCTGGGCGCAGTGGAGGTGCATGTTGCTAATCTCAGTGACTCAGGATGCTGAGGCAAGAGGATAACAAGTTAAAGGCCAGACTCAGCTACTTAGCAAGGCCCTAAGCTACTTAGCAAGACCATGTCTCAAAATAAAAAATAAAAAAGGGCTAGAGATGTAGCTCAATGGTACAGTGGTCGACCATTCCTAATCTGAAAGTCCAAGATCTGAAATGCTCCAAAACCTGAAATGACAATGTGATGCTCAAAAAGTTTTGGATTTTGCCTGGCATGGTGGTGGTTCATACCTGTAATCCCAGCTACTTGGGAAACTGAGGCAGGAGAATCATAAGACCAGCCTGAGCAACTCGGTGAGCTTCTATCTCAGAATTAAAAAAGTAAAATAAAAAACAGTGGAGGTGGGTAGGGATGTAACTCAGTGGTAGAATGCTTTGATATACGCTTAGATAGAACGGGGTACACGCGTCTCTGAGCTTCCTTGCAGCCAAAGCAAACAGGAGAACACAATCAGTGAAATGATTCAGTGTCCATAAAACAAGCCAACTTGTGCTCAGAAAGAACAAAAATATTCTCAGAACTAATATCTGTGAGGAATTTCTCCTGCTGGTTCTCAGAGCAAGATGTTGTGTAACAGTCAACAACATATGTCCTCAACCACATCCTCAGAGGCCAGAGTGACACAACTGCCCTTCCCATAGGCTAATGCCATAAAAGCAAAACACAATTCAAAGCGAGTAACTGGAGTCAAAGAATAGGATAGGGAAAGAAAACACTACAGTGTAGGTATGCTACTCAGATGGTTTGCAGAGATATAAGGAGTAAGTAGTCTATCTATCCTCTCAAAAACAAGCTTTTGATAAGCATGACCTGGCAGTGAGTTCTAGGTCACGCTCTCTAAGACAAATGCCTGGAGTCCAGCTCTTTCTAAGTGCCAATAACATGGTAGAAAGTAGGGAACAGGAGATATGCACTGGAATAATTGCTGGAATCTGGGGTTGAACTCAAGTCTCTGAAAGATTATCAGTGAAAGATTACATGTAGAGTAACCTATTATTATTAATATTTCAAGAATACAGATATTTTTCACCTTAGCATATTTTAACCAAGATACTCTATAGCCTACCCTTCATATTCATGCCAGGCATATCCTCCCAAAACAGAGATCAGATACTATAGCTATCCTCTTCAAAATTTTTCACTTGTTCTCCATGCCTACTGGAAAATTTTTAGTTATTAGCATGAATGCCAGTCCCTTTATAATGGGCCTAATCCTGACTTTCTAGTCTTATCTCTTATCTCTTCTTACACACCCTAATCTCCAACCACACCTCATCATTGTGTTTTCCAAACATGCCATAGATATTTGGCAGGATGGGGCACAAATAGGCTGCTGGGAACATTTTAGCACATATATTTTGGGGAACACAACTTCCTATTTCTATACTTCCTTTTCCCTTTGTTTATATTGCTTGGACTTGATATTTTCTCATAGAGAAAGAAGAAATCGGGTGTCCCGTTTTGTGGTAATGCCCTCTTATGTCAGTCACTTCAGTAATCTGTGCCAGGATCATCTGATTTTATGATCTTTGCCTTCTGTAAATTAATCCTCAGCCTCCATGTAAAAGGACTGAGTCCTAAATGAAAACATCCCTTTGGCCATATGCTTTGGCCATGAGCTGATGAATCACTTACCCTACAATATGGCTCCTTCTTTTTTATATCCTCCTGCTGAATCAGTCTCAAGCCTTGGACACCATTCTGCAGGCCCCTCTCATACAGGGCCCGAAGTCTAGGAATTTCTTCTTGTTCAACAGCTACTATTAGCTTCAAAACAATGATAAAAAGCATGGATAAAGTTAAGTATATCATCAGCTATGAAAGATATAAAGTGCATGAAAATCACAGATTTTTACATGGCTCAAATAGGTTTAATTAAGAACTTTTTCTTCATGTATCTACTTCCCCCTTTCTATAGAACTTTACTTTCTTCCTTTACCAAGAAAAGCTTTCCTTTTTTAATATTTTATTTTTTAGTTATAGTTGGACACAATACCTTTATTTTATTTATTTTTATGTGGTGCTGAGGATCAAACCCAGGGCCTCGCACATGCCAGGTGAGCGCTCTACTGATGAGCCACAACCCATTCCCCAAGAGAAGCTTTCTTAAGACAATAAAATTAGAACAAATTTGCAGGCTAAGTCTGTAGCTCAGTGGCAGAGCACTTGCCTAGCACATGTGAGGTACTGGGTTAGATCCTTAGCACCGCCAAAAAATAAACAAAATAAAGGCATTCTATCTATCTACAACTACAAATATATAAATAAATGATAAACATAAAACAAAATTTCCCCTAAGTCATGAGATGCAGCTTCAATTTCCACTTCTATTATCATCATCTCTACTTGCATCTTGGTCATAAGTAACTCTTATTACCATTCCCTCAGTCCCAAAGGCAAGAGAAGCACAGCTTGTTTAGCCTTTACATTTTCCAAAAATGGCCTTCTTATTTCTGTAAGGAAATGTGAAATATCAGGACATCAAAAGACAGCTGGTAATTCAGTGTATTAGGAAATCACTGGCAGAAAACTATCCCTTTTATTTCCTGGAATAAAATTACAAAGTATTTTCTTTGAATTCTGTTTCAGAGGAAAATAATTAGTATATTCAGTATATTCATCAACTTTATTCAAAAATCTTTAACTTCTGGGCAAAGTATCTGAAGGTGAATTTCTTCTTATTTAATAGTTACGAGCAAACACAGCACAGATGTACGTTCACAGGTGCATTAGAATTCACAAGTCACTATTTCATACCACAGAGTCAACAGAATTTCATGAGGTAGTACTTTAAAAAAAAAATTTTTTTTAGTTGTAGTTAGACACAATATCTTTATTTTATTTATTTACTTTTATGTGGTGCTAAGGAGTGAACACAGTGCCTTACATATGCTACAACCCCAGTCCCAGGGTAATACTTTGAGGTGTAAAGGCCCTTTAAATCAACAAATCATTAACCTTAAAAAGAGAAGAGAAATAAAAGGACACTAATAGAAAGTGAAAATACAATTCACAGAATGGGAGAAAATATCTGTAACCCATAAAACTCATAAAGGTCTGGTTGGTACCCAGAATCCATAAAGAACTTTTACAACTTAACAACAAAAACTGTACAATTTTCTATCTTGCCCTTTTCACTTAACATTTCATCAGAGCCACTTCCCACATTAATAAAAAACAATTTTCAAAGCATCTTTAATGACAACAATGAACTTTTATTCTTAAAAACCATATGAAAAAGGACATCACTACCAACTTTAAATAAAGATTTACAAAGACAAATGCTATGACAACTGTACACCCACAACTAAGGTAATCTAGATGAAATGAATAAACTCTTGGAAAGACACAAACTTCTAAAACTGATTGGAAAAAAGAAAATGAAAATCTATTCAGACCTGTAACAAGTAAGGAGATTGAAAACTCCTCACAAAGAAAAGCCTAGGCATCAAAAGTTTTGCTCATGAATGCCATCAAATGTTTATAAAAGGATTAATACCAATTCTTCATAAACTCTTCCAAAAAACAGAAGAGGAAGAAGAAATGCTTAACTAATTTTATGAAGCCAATATTATCTTGATACCTAACCCAGACAAACACAAGAAATTGCCCACCAATGCCCAGTCAGAATGACGCCTGGCATTTGCCAGAGGGAATGGTTGTAAGGTGACGCCAGTGAACCATTGAGATGATGATTTGAGTTAAGCTATATATAATTGCTGTGATGCTGGATTGATTGTATTGTATATTTGACCTTTACTGTCAGGCAATAGGGCAGCTCTTGCTGCCTCGGGCGCCCACTACTTTGGAGTTCCCTGTGAGTTGGGGGGGGGGGTGTTGGGGAGATTGGACGGAGCCCAGTGGAGGGAGTGTTATTTTTGTATTGGTTGTTCAAAACATTACAAAGCTCATGATATATCATCTTTCATACATTTGACTCAATTGGGTTATGAACTCCCTTTTTTACCCCAAATACAAATTGCAGAATCACATCGGTTACACACTCACATTTTTACATAATGGCATATTAGTGACTGTTGTATTCTGCTACTTTTCGTATCTCCTACTATCCACCCTCCCCTCCCCTCCCATCTTTGCTCTCTACCTCATCTGCTGTTGTTCAATTCTCTCCCTTATTCCCCTCCCCTTTCCCCTCACAACCTCTTATATGTAATTTTGTGTAACATTGAGGGTCTCCTACCATTTCCATATGCTTTCCCTTCTCTCTCCCTTTCTCTCCCGCCACTCGTCTTTGTTTAATGTTAATATTTTCCTCATGCTCTTCCTCCCTGTTCTGTTCTTAGTTGCTCTCTTTATATCAAAGAAGACATTTGGCATTTGTTTTTTAAGGATTGGCTAGCTTCGCTTAGCATAATCTGCTCTAATGCCATCCATTTCCCTGCAAATTCTATGATTTTGTCATTTTTTAGTGCTGCGTAATACTCCATTGTGTATAGATGCCACATTTTTTTTATCCATTCATCTATTGAAGGGCATCTAGGTTGGTTCCACAGTCTAGCTATTGCGAATTGTACCGCTATGATCATTAATGTGGCAGTATCCCTATAGTGAGCTCTTTTAAGATCCTCAGGGAATAGTCCGAGAAGGGCGACAGCTGGGCCAAATGGTGGATCCATTCCCAGCTTTCCCAGGAATCTCCATACTGCTTTCCAAATTGGCCTCACCAATTTGCAGTCCCATCAGCAGTGTACAAGTGTACCTTTTCCCCACATCCTCACCAACACTTATTGTTGTTTGACTTCATAATGGCTGCCAATCTTACTGGAGTGAGATGGTATCTTAGGGTGGTTTTGATTTGCATTTCTCTGACTGCTAGAGATGGTGAGCATTTTTTCATGTACTTGTTGATTGATTGTATGTCCTCCTCTGTGAAGTGTCTATTCAGGTCCTTGGCCCATTTGTTGATTGGGTTATTTGTTATCTTATTGTTTAATTTTTTGAGTTCTTTGTATATTCTGGATATTAGGGCTCTATCTGAAGTGTGAGGGGTAAAAATTTGTTCCCAGGATGTAGGCTCTCTATTTACCTCTCTTATTGTTTCTCTTGCTGAGAAAAAACTTTTTAGTTTAAGTAAGTCCCATTTGTTTATTCTTGTTATTACCTCTTGGGCTATGGGCGTCCTATTAAGGAATTTGGAGCCCGACCCCACAGTATGTAGATCGTAGCCAACTTTTTCTTCTATCAGACGCAGAGTCTCTGATTTGATATCAAGCTCCTTGATCCATTTTGAGTTAACTTTTGTACATGGCGAGAGAAAGGGATTCAGTTTCATTTTGTTGCATATGGATTTCCAATTTTCCCAGCACCATTTGTTGAAGATGCTATCCTTCCTCCATTGCATGTTTTTGGCCCCTTTATCAAATATAAGAAAGTTGTAATTTTGTGGATTGCTTTCTGTGTCCTCTATTCTGTACCATTGGTCCACCTGCCTGTTTTGGTACCAGTACCATGCTGTTTTTGTTACTATTGCTCTGTAGTACAGTTTGAACTCTGGTATCGCTATACCTCCCGATTCACACTTCCTGCTTAGAACTGCTTTTGCTATTCTGGGTCTTTTGTTTTTCCATATGAATTTCATGATTGCTTTATCTATTTCTACAAGAAATGCCGTTGGGATTTTGATTGGCATCGCATTAAACCTGTAGAGAACTTTTGGTAATATCGCCATTTTGATGATGTTAGTTCTGCCTATCCATGTGGTGTGTGCAGTGCCAGTGAAAGGTGGGGAATAAAGAGTTGCTGTTTGAATCTACAAGGCTTTGTGGCGGCTCGGTTATTTGTGCCCAGCCAGACTGCGGCAGACCAATATTTCTTGTAAATACACACACAAAAAAAATTTGAGTGAGGAGGGGGTGCTGGGGATCAAACCCAGGGCCCTGCACCTCTTAAGCATGTACTCTATCACCAAGCTGCACCCTCAGCCCTACCATATAAAGACTGATGCAAAAATCCTAAACAAAATATAAAAACTAAATGCAGTAATATATAAATATCATCTCATGATCTAGTAGGATTTATCACACAGCAAGGCAAGATCAATTTCACATCCAAAAACCAATGAATGTAATTTACTATAGTAATAAAGTTCAAAACCACATAACCACCTCAACAGAATCAGAAAAGGCATTTGAGAATTTCCAGCATCCTTTCATGATTAAAAAACAAAAATAAAAACCATTCCACAAGCAAGGAGTAGAAAGGAACTTCTTTAGCCTGATAAAGGGACTCTACCAAAGCCACAAAAACAAAAACAAAACAAAAAACCCACAGTTAGCGGCATACTCAAATGGAAAATACCAAAAAAGCAACACAAAAACAACCACTTTTACTACTTCTACTCAACACTGTTTTGGTAGTTCTAGCCAAGGAAATTAAGCAAGCAAAATAAATAAATAAAAGGCCTCTGTAATGGTAAATTTGAATTGTCAACTTGGTTGGATTAAGAGATGACTAAGAATAAGAGGCGTCTGGGTGTGTCAATGAAAGTGTGTCTAGGAATGGTGGTCCTGTGGGATGGTGAACAGAAGTGGAGACCCTCCCTAAGTGTGGACAAAGGTTGGAGGCTTGGGTGGAAAACATATGGAAGAACAAGGAAGCAGCAGCAGATACAAGCTCAATTCTTCTTGATGGATTCTTGATTGCTGCTGCAATTGCCTGAAAACATCAGACTCAAGCTCCTCCAACTCTTTCCAAAGTGGACTTGGCCTGAGATTCTCCAGAGAGTTTCCAGAAGCCTTCAATCCCAGACTAGGGTACCACTGTTTATCCCTCCTGTTCTGAGGCTTCAGCATCTTGGACTGTTCAGCTACTGGTTTCTTATCTCTCCAGCCTACAGTCAAGGGGCTACCCAGCTTCTGGTTCTGTAAGCCAAATTATTAAGTTCCCTTTTTATAATCATATGTATAATATATATATGTGTGTATATATGTATACACAGATAGATAGATGTCTCCTGTTGGTTCTGTTCCTCTAAAGAACCCTAATACGGGCTGGGGATGTGGCTCAAGCGGTAGCGCGCTTGCCTGGCATGCGTGCGGCCCGGGTTCGATCCTCAGCACCACATACAAACAAAGATGTTGTGCCCGCCGAAAAATAAAAAATAAATATTAAAAAAAAAAATTCTCTCTCACTATCTCTCTCTCTCTTTAAAAAAAGAACCCTAATACAGCACCCAAACTGAAAAAGAAATAAAACTTATTTGTCATGATCTTTCAGATAAAAAAGCCTATGAAATACATACACCTATACTCACACAGTCATACACAATTAGAACTAATAAATTAGTTCGGAAAGACTTCAGGATTTAAAAAAAAAGTCAATATACAAAAATTAATCATAGTCTATATGTTTAGCAAAGAATAATCAAAAATAAAACTAACACAATTCCCTCATAAAAGCGTCAATAAGAATAAAACAATAAGAAACAAATTTAATCAAAAGAGGGTGTAAGGTCCTTGCTTAAGTGACAGCCACCATTTTCCCACTCAAGGACCTTTCCCAGAGAGGATCACCTCTCCCTCATACCAACCCAACCCTTCACCAGGCATTCTTTCCTGCCCAAGAACATATTACCACTCTCTCATATCAACCCCACCCTTAAACCCACCCTCATTAGGTCCTGCCCAACTCAGATCCCTGAGCCTGGCCATAAAAGTGCCAAAATCCAAGCCTGTCCAGCCTCTTTCTATCTATGGAGATATGGCCTTTATTTATCAGCTCTGATAAATAAACTCTCTTATGTATCTCTGCCTGGTCTCCCTCTTTCATTTAATTTCTGGCTCGCCTGGCTTCTGCTTTCTCACTTTCAGGGCAAGACTGGGACTGGGGTTGTAGCTCAGTGATAGAGCACTTGCCTAGCAGCATGAGGCTCTGGGTTTGATCCTCAGCACCACATAAAGAATTGATTGTTATGGTATCATAGGGCTTATGTTCAAGTAACTCTTATTTAACTTAATAATAGTTCCAGGGGCTCCTGGCTCAGGGGTAGAGCACTTACCTAGAATGTGTGAGGCACTGGGCTTGATTCTCAGCACCACATATAAATAAACTTTAAAAATAAAGGTCCATTGACAACTACTTAAAGAAGGCCAGACCTATACACTGAAAACTATACAACATTGTTGAAAGAAATTAAAGAAGATCTAAATAAGTGAAAGAAATCCTGTGTTCACGGACCGCAAGATTTTATAATGTTAACATGGCAGTATTCTCCAAATTGATCTACATATTCAATGTAATTCCTATCATAATCCCACCTGCCTTTTGGGAGAAATTGACAAATTGCCCCCAAAATTTGTTTAGAAAGGCTGGGGTCCCAGAATAGCTATACTAATCTTGAAAAAGAAAAAGTTGGAGAACTCAACTCCTGTACTGGCATAAGGATACACATATTATCGACGGAACTGAGAATCCATAAACATTTTTTGTTCAATGGATTTCTAATAAGGGTGCCAACACAATTAATGTAGAAGGAATAGTCTTTCCAACAAATGATGCCGACACAACTAAGTATCTATATGCAAAATATGAAGTTGAACCCCTCCCTCATACCACATATCAAAATTAATTCCAAGGTGATCATAGACTTAAACATAAGAGCTAAGGCTGGAAAACTCTTAGAAGAAATTACTGGAGAAAACCTTTATGATCTAATGTTAGGCAATGACTTCTTAGATATGATATTAGAAGCACAAACAACAAAAGAAAAAAGATAAACTGGACTGTTATGGTTTGGATATGAGGTGTCCCCTGAAAACTCCTGTGTTAAGGCAGGAAGTTCAGAGGTAAAATGGTAAAATTGTGAGAGACATAATCTAATCTAGTCTACCTTACTTTGACTAAACTAACTGGGTGGCAACTCTTGGCAGGTGGGCATGGCTGGAGGAGGTTGGTCACTGGGCATTGGGTGCATGACCTTGAAAGATGATCTTCTGCTTTCTCTGCTTTCTGGCTGTCTGGAGCTGAAGAGCTTTCCTCCACTGTGCCCTTTGGTCATGAATATTCCTCCTTATCTTTGGCCCAGAGCCATGGAGTCAGCCAATCATAAACTGAACCTCGAAACTATGAGCCAAAATAAACTTTTCCTCTTCTAAGTTGTTCTTGTCAGGTATTTTGGTCAATGTATGAAAAAGATGACTAACACACTGGACTTTATCAAAATTAAAAACTTTAGTGCTTCAAAGGACACCATCATGGAAGTAAAAAAGAAAAACCTACAGAATGGCATAAAACATTCCAAATCACCTGGGTAATACAGCAGTTCTCCCTTATCCACAGTTTCATTTTCTGATGTTTTAGTCATCTGCAGTCAACCACAGTCCAAAAATATAAAATGAAAAATTCCAAAAATAAATAATTTAAAAGTTTAAAACTGCATATCACTCTGCATAGCAGGATCCAATCTTGCACAACTCTGTTCCACCTTGTCTAGGATATGAATCATTCCTCTCTCCAGTGTATCTATATTGTATACACTATTCACCCATTAGTCACATTGTAGCCATCTCAGATACCAGATTGACTGTCATGGTATCATAGTGCTTATGTTCAAGTAACTCTTATTTTACTTAATAATAGCTCCAGGGGCTCATGGCTCAGTGATAGAGCACTTGCATAGTATATATAAGGCACTGTGTTTGATTCTCAGCATCACATATAAATAAATTTTTTAAAAAAGGTCCATTGACAACTAAAAAATAAGTAATAGCTCCAAAGCACAAAGTAGTGATATGGCAAGTGTCATCTCACATCATCACAAGGATGAATACAGCACAATAACACATTTGAGAGAGAGACTAATCACATTCACATAACTTTTATCATGACTTATTGTTATAATTGTTCTTTTTATTTGTTATTATTATTACTTTCTTACTTTGCCTATTTTTACATTAACTTTTGCATATGAAACATCAAGGTATATTTAAGATTCAGTGCTATGCAAGGTGTCAGGATTTACAGGGAGTCTTGGAAAGCATACTTTATGGATTAGAAGGGAATACTTTATCTAGAACATATATAAGAACATATACTGCTCAGCAACAAAATAAGAAGTAGCTTAATTTTAAAATGATCAAAAGATCTGAATATACATTTTTCCAAAGAAGCTATAGAATGACTGAAAGCACATGAAAAGATGTCAAACCAGATCCAGCAATCCCACTACCGGGTATATACCCAAAGGAAATGAAATTGAAATGTCAGAGAAATACCTGTACTCCTACATTTATCATATCATTATTCACAATCTCCAAGACATGGCATCAACCTAAGTGTCCATCAATGGATGCATATATAAAGAAAATGCAGCATATTTACACCCTAAAAAGGAAGGAAGTCTTGTCATTTGTTGACAATACAAATGACCCTTAAAGACATTATGTCTTCACATCATCAAGTGAAATAAACCAAGCACAGAAAGACTTATACTGCGTGATCTTAAAAGTAGAGAGTAGAATGGTGGTTACCAGTGGCTGGGGGTGGGTGGGATTAGAAAAATGATGGTCAAAAGATACAAAATTTCCGTAAGACAAAAGGAATAAGTTCAGAAGATCCATTGTATAAAGTGGTGACTATAGTTATTAACAATATACTATATTCTTGAAGACTGCCAAGAGAGTTTAAGATTTTTAAAATGATAAGTATATGAAGGCATACATGTTAGCTAAATGTAGTCATTCCACAATGGCTATGTTATCATGTACATATACATACTCATGTACATGATGCACACAATATGTATAATTTTGCCAATTAAAAATAAATTAATTTAAAAAATGATTATCAACCTCATTAATCATTAGGAAAATACAAATCAAATCCACAATGAATACAACTTCATATCTACTAGAATGGCTAAAACACAAAGACAATAACAGGTATTGGTGAGGATATAGAGAAATTGGAATCCTCATTAATTACTTGGGGAAATGCAATGTAATACAGCATTTTAGAAAAGAGTTGGGCAATTCCACAAAATGCTAAAGATGGAGTTTCCCATATGACTCAATAATTCTACTCCTAGGTATATAACAGGGAGAAATAAAAACATGGTCCCATAAAACAGGTACAGAAATGTCCACAACAATATTCACAACAGAAAAAAATGTGGAAACAACTGAAATGTCTATCAACTGATAAAGCAGATTTAAAAAAAAAAACCCAAATGTGGCACATCCATACAATGAAATATTTGGTCACAAAAGGGAATAAAGTGCTGATTCATGCTATGACCTTTGAAAACACTAAGTTAAATCAGTCATAAAAGACTACATGAAAAGATGCCCTGACATGAATTCTACTTATATAAAATTAACAGAATAGGCAAATTCAGAGACAGAACGTACATTAGTAGTTGCTAAGGGATCAGGGAAGGTGGAAATGGGAGTGACTGCTAATTGGTATGGGGTTTCTTTTTGGGGTGAGGAAAATATTCCAAAATTAGATAGTGTTGTGATGGTTACGCAATTTTGTGAATAGACTAAAAGCTGAACTGTACACTTTAAAATTGTAAATTACATATTAATGAAGCTATTATTTTAAAAGTTACATGGAATTAGTCATATCATCATTTTTTGTTATTCTCTAATACTAGATTGCACAAATTATATAGATACAGGAAAAGTTTTAAAAATTTTTTTAAAAATTCAACATTAAAACATCAGCAAGAAAAGGCTAATAATTACACATAAGTCAAGGCCATAGTAAAATATCATACCTTGCCACACTGCTTGTAGGAAATTCCCTTCTTGTTACAGTACTCATAGATGAGGTCTGCACCTTGTACACACAATTTAGCTTTTAGAGATTCAGGTTTATAATAAATTCCACTATGTATGACACCACTGTTATGTCCAGTCTGGTGAGTAGCTACAGAACAAGAGAAGCAGCATAAAGAGAAAGTCCATGACTCACACAAAACCTAAAAGGTGAGGAAACAATTACAGTTGATGCTACTAGATACCAAATCATTTAAAATTCTACTTCAATTTTTTCAGTTTACTGGTAATTTCCTCTAGCAGATGTCCCTGGTATCCATGTCACATTGCTCCTGCCTATCTCTGATTTCAACTATAACTCACTTCTCTAGAACCAGCAAACCACTTACCAATAGGACTCTCTGCACTCTGTCCCAAGACTTTTTCTATCTTTTAGGGGAAGGGTAGAGGCTGTTCCACATCACTAGGGACAATCCGCAAGCAAAAGAGACAACAATTGATAGATAAACAAGCACAATCCTAGAAAACATTACACAGCTCTTTAGAGGTCCCAGTGGAATCAAGCTCACAGAAGCAACTTCAATAGGCACCCTCCTTCCTTGTCTTACTCTCTCCATCCCCTCACTCCTTCCTACCTCCTCAGATAACCTCTCAAATAAATTACCCACACACAAGTTCTTGTTCCAGGTTCTACTTTTAGGAGAACCCAAAATAGGCTATTAACATTGACATTTGGCATGATTGATTGTACTGACAGAATGAACAGGTGCATAAGCAAGCCAGAAGATCAACACTGATAACATACATACCTAAATCTTTCTCCTTTTCCAGAACACCAATTGAAAGTGTAGGATGTCGCAGGATAAGTGCTCTGGCAGAGGCAAGGCCCACAATTCCACCACCAACAATGACTATATCAAATGAGCTTTAAGGAAAAAAAAAAATGGCATTTAAAGAAATTTGTTTATAGTAGATATCACCAAACTTCACATGCACAATTTTCATCATTAGCAGACAATTAAACTATTAATTTATAATAATTGAAATAATATGCATTTAGTTTTTATGCTATTTGGTTTCACTCTCATGTAAAATCACAGACAATGATTGTCAGTAGATTAATTACAGTCTATTTACTGGCAGAGAGGATGGTTGGTCACCTAAGCTGCACTGTCTCTACAGTACCCCACTTGGCCAGTTACATCAGTGATGACTTTTGTGTTAAGCATCATACTTTCTTTACCACCTATCCTTTCAAAATTCAAATGCAGTATTCTTGAGGACAGCCTAACACATTAAGCCTTTAACATCTTTCTGTGCCAGGATTTATACATTTTTTTTTCTGTTGAAAAGAAAACAGCAGTAGGAATTTTGTGAAATAGTGGGTCCAGAATATGCTAGAACCACTGAAGTAAGACAATGCAAATTAAAACTACAATGAGATATCACTATATCTCTGTCAGAATGACTAAAATGAAAAAGTGAAAACACCACATGCTGGTGAGGATGAGGAAAAACTGGATCACTTACAGATTAATTACTGCCACTCCCAAAGAGTAAGGCGATTTCTTTAAAAAACTAAATATGCACTTACTACATGACTCAGCAACTGCATCCTTAAGCATTTATCCCAAAGAAATGAAAGCTTATGTTCATAGCAGTTTTATTCATAATAGGCAAAAACTGCAAACAGTCCAGATGTCCTTCAACTGGTGAATGGTTAAACAAACTGTAATGCATCCGTGCCACGGAATGCTATTCAAAAATGAGAAGAAAAAAAAACCCACTATCAATATTGGCAACATCTTGGATTGATAGATCTCAAGGACATTATGCTGTGTGAGGAAAAATTAATATCAAAAGATTACACAGTTTTTATTTATATATCATGATCAAAATGACAAAATTATAGTAATGGAGTATGGATTAGTGGTTGCAAAGGGTTAGGAAGAGTGAAGTCGTAGGGTGTGAATATGAAGGGGATATGGAACAATTCTATATCTTAATTGAGGTTCTTGTTACACAAATAAACACATATGATTAAATTGCATAGAAAGTGCATAAATTGTATACAAATACACAAACACAAAAATGAGTGAATGTAAAAAACTAATGAAACCTGTACAAGGTCTGTGGATTGTGCCAGTATCAAATCAATTTTCTACTTTTGATATTGTTCTACAGTTCTGTAAAAATGTTATCATTGCCCTAAAAGTGTGAAGGCTCTGTACTATTTTTGCATCTTCCTATGGATCTATAATTATTCCAAAATAAAAAATATTTTAAAAATTTTCACTAAACCTACTTTTCTTCCCTTAAGAAAGGCTTCCCAAAAGAATGGTCTACTTATGGCACAACCAATCATTGACACTGTTAACTCCTGTCCCTTTCCAATTCACTACCACATAGTAACCAGAGTCATCAATTGAAACAACATTAATCTCTCCCCTATTTTAAACCTTTTTAATAGTTTCTCATGGCTCTTAAATAAAAATCAGTGTGTAGTTAAAATTAAATCTCTGTTGTAACATAGCAGGTGTCATTCCATGCTTCCTGTCTTCCACTAAGCTCCAGTCATACTCATTATTGCCCACCTTCTAATCCTCAAAATAACCAAAAGCTTTCCACCCTTAAAGCCTTCACACAGACTGTTCCTTCTAGGAGAGGATAGAAAGACAGTGGTTTCAAATGTGAGCTCCAAACATCAAATTACAGGACACTGAATTTTACTGGTTTTTAATAGGCAACGGAGATGCTTCGCACAAGGACAAATGGCCGATTTAAGCCCGATCCAAGCAACACCAGGGATACCAGCTAATAAACAGTATATTTGATTGTTTACAGTGTGTTAGATCTTTTTATCTTCAAAACGACCGCGAACAGGAGAGACGAAGATCCTATTCACAATTCAGACTTTTAATTAACCCGCCTATAGTTGAACATAACGTGGAAGGGTGTATGTAAAGCCAGACCTGTTCCTGACCTCCACTCAACACTGTCTCTCCTCCGGCCCATAAATAACAGCGAATAAACTCGCAGCTCCATAGCTCCTAAGATCCAGCTCTACAGGATTCCAACCTTCTCCCAGGCCCCGCCTGACAAGGAAGTACCAGTAGGTGTATAAATTCAGCACGAGGCAGCACTGAAAGCAGCAACAGCGCAGGCGGCGAGGGCGGGTCATTTGCCACTCACCTGCTGCTAGCACTGCGGACACCCCCGCAAAGCGGCCAGGGCCTTCCGGACGCCGACCCGCACACCCCGGAGAAGCTCCCGGGGAAGCCCCCACGGGCCCGTCCGCAGGCACCCCCCAGGTAACGCAGCACCGGTACCATCGCCTGCACCCACTCCCCTTGCTCGGCCCCTAGAGGTGGCAGCTTTAGCCCAATAGTGCCTGGGTCCCGCTACTCTCTAACCCCGCCCCTCAAGCGGGGACCAATGAGACGTGCGTTTTCACCACACGTGGGAGCTGCGGGAGCCTGCCAATGGGCGCCCGCGGCGGAGGGCGAAGGGCAGGCCGGCGCGCTGTAGACGCGTGGATGCCGGCTCGCTCGCTCCCTCCCTGCGACGCTGTGAGTAAAGGACCTAGGCCCCGCGCGGGGCGGGACTAGGATAGTGGTTATGCTCGCCCCTTTCCCTTCTCCCAAACCTGGCTAACTGAAAAGCGAGCCGGGCAAATCTCGCGTCTTCGACTTTGACCGCCGAGCGGATCGGGCCTCGGGGAGAAAGCCTGGGAGTGATTACGGCCCGCCCCTGGGCTGCTGGAGGGTATTGCTGGGCGGACGCTCCCGGCCCTAGCCCTGGGGGCTCTTTGTCACGGCTACGCCCAATAGCCGGCTATCTCCTGGACTTCTTGCCTGACTGTTGGCGGTGCCATTCATTCAGTTATTGATTTGTCTTGTTAATACGAGCGCCTACTATACTGGACCGAGCACTGAGTACTGGATGGCCAGACAGTTTAATCTCGCCATCATTTAGCGATCTGTGTCCTTTTCTCAGTTTTAAAAATGCTCTCTGGAACTCGGAACAGCGAATCACCTGTGCATGTCACTTCATCGCAGTTTCCTTATCTGTAAAATTAAGGCAATGGGCTATGTAATCTCTAAAGGACCTTCTAACTGTAAAATTATGTGATTTTTTTTTCCTACCATCCCAGTATAATACTTAATTATCTCTGCTTTGTGACAGTTTTTAAATTTTTAGGATCAGGAGAACTGATAAAATAGAACGGTATAACTTTATTGCTGGGAGGACTTAAGGCTATTTTTCAGTCATTAGATACCTCTGGGAAGTCACTTCACCTCTTTGCCTCAGACCCTTCTCTGTGAACATGGGTCTTTTAGCAGACTGTTTGAGAGAAGGCTCATCAGATCTTGAGCACAGTGAAGCACACAATTGAAAAGAGAAGATGGCTATTTTAAAAATTCAACATATCTTGAGATATTGGTAGTGTCTCATGCAGTTCAGGAAATAATGGAGATCCTGCATACCTTTTGCCCATCTTCCCCAATGATAAACCTTGTAAAACTATAGTACACTATCACAACCAGGTAAACTTATTCAGATTTCCCTAGTTTTACATTTGTGTGTGTTTCTATAAATTACCATCATGTGTGTAGATTCATGTATCTACCAACAGGTCAAGATACAGCACAGTTCCATCACTACAAGGAACCCTCCAGATGCCTTTGTATAAACTACAACTTTCCCTCATAGCCCTCCCTCAAATTTTTTCTTTTTCCCTTCTAACATTTTGTTATTTAAAGAATATTATGTAAGTGTAATTTTACAGCATGTTAACTTTAGGGGATTGACCTTTTGTATTTAGTGTGATCCCTTGACATTCATCCACATCATTGGGTATATCAAAAGTTCATTGCTTTTCACTACGGAGTACCAGTTCATAATATGAATGTACTATAGTATGATTAACCTTTCACTAATTGAAGGACATCTGAGTTGTTTCCAGATTTAGAGTGTCATAAATAAAGCTGTTATGAATTTTATTGTACAGCTTTTTTGTGTGAACCTGTTTTTATATCTCTAGGATAAGTGTTCCAAGAGTCTGATTGTTGGGTCGAATTGCAAGCACATGTTTAATTTTGTAAGAAACTGCCAAACTGTTTTCCAAAGTGGCTGTACCACTTTATATTCCTACCAGTTATGTTTGATCCAATTCTCTTCATTGTCACCAGCATTATGTGTTCTCACTATTTTTTAACTTTTAGCCATTCTGATAGATGTGTATGGAGGTGGTTATTTTTTTATTTTGCACAGGGTATAGTTGATTACAGAATTATGTACTTGCAGGGGCCAGTTTTTTCCCCCCATAGGCCATTTGGGCCCATAGTAGTGTTTTGTTTTGTTTTGTTTTTCAATTGTGATTTCGAACATGTGCTTCTTAGTTTAGCAAGGGTGAAAGTACTCAGAACACACATGCCCTTTCATAAAATTTTCTCTGCTTGCTCTCCCTCACAATTTGAATAGTAGTTTATTTTGGTTAAGTAATTTGAATTCAAGAGCTTGTCTTGCATTCATATACCCTGTAACATTTGTGGGTAGAAACTTTTGTATTCCTGACACTACCTTTCTTTAGAGTTCATGTTCAACTTGTCTATGTAACAAGTTAGTCAATAAGTGCCATTTGATAGCCTCAGAACAGTATTGGGGATCTTTGATTCCAACTCCTAATGAATTGCTCTGTTGATCTGTTTCATTTGATTCTAGATACCCCAATAATAAGAACTAGAATCAACAATGGGTGATGTACAGCGCTACAAGGTTGTAACTAAGAGAAAAAAGTCCCTCATCCTGTTGCCCACTCCCCTTTACCACTCTCAAGAATTAGTTGTGTGTTACTGGGAATTGAACCTAGGACTCTTTTTTTAGGGGAGGTGCGTACTGGGGATTGAACTCAGGGGCACTGAGCCACATCCCCAGCCCTATTTTGTATTTTATTTAGAGACAGGGTCTCACTGAGTTACTTAGGGCCTCATTAAATTGCAAAGGCTGTCTTTGAACTCATGATTCTCCTGTCTCAGCCTCTCCAGCTGCTGGGATTACAGGCATGTGCCTGGCTGAACCTACGACTCTCTACCACTGTGCAACATCCCCAGCCCTTTTTAAATAACCCAGTCAGTAATTGCATTTAATATATTAAATCATAACTTTCAGTTTAAAAAGATCTTACTGCCTTCATGAAAACAAGGAAACTCTCAATCAAACCTACTCATGAAACACTTTGTATATATCCTTTTTATTTTTATTTTATGTGGTGCTGGGGATTGAACCCAGGGCCTTGTGCATGTGAAGCAAGCACTCTACCAACTGAGTTTTATCCCCAGCCGATTTTGCATATATCTTATTGTGAATAATACATTAGAGGTGTGACTGTCTCTAAATCACAAACATAATTGCAGCTTTTAGAAACACTGCTACAAACTTATGGCTCTAAACCATGTTCTGATAGCAATAAATTTGTTTTGTTTTGCATAATTTGTATTCCTGGGTTATTTATGGCACCAGTAATTCAGTACTTATTTTCTAACTTGGTTTGTAATTGTTTTCTTTCCATTTTATCAGAGCCAGATACACTAACTCACCACCAGAGGTCCTCTTTCCCTATAGAAAGCATTCTCAGGGTAGCTGCTGCTTGACGCTGTAATTCCCCAAGTCTCAAGTAGCAAAAGTTGTAATTAAGAATGTAAACAAACAAACAACAAAAAACCCTACTGTTTGTTTTAACCTTTATTGCCAAGTATAATTTAAATTTTCATGTTTAAATTATTTAAAATATAAAACGAGTGTTTTTAGAGGTCATAGCTGATGTAAATTAGGCCTTCCCTTTATTTTTATTTTTTTTTAATTTTTGTTGTTGGTTGTTCAAAACATTACATAGTTCTTGATATATCATATTTCACACTTTGATTCAAGTGGGTTATGAACTCCCCTTTTTACCCCGTGTACAGATTGCAGAATCACATCAGTTACACATCCATTGATTTACATATTGCCATACTAGTGTCTGTTGTATTCTGCTGCCTTTCCTATCCTCTACTATCCCCCCTCCCCTCCCCTCCCCTCTTCTCTCTCTACCCCCTCTACTGTAATTCATTTCTCCCCCTTGTATTTTTTTTCCCTTTCCCCTCACTTCCTCTTGTATGTAATTTTGTATAACCCTGAGGGTCTCCTTCCATTTCCATGCAATTTCCTTTCTCTCTCCCTTTCCCTCCCACCTCTCATCCCTGTTTAATGTTAATCTTCTTCTCATGCTCTTCATCCCTACTCTGTTCTTAGTTACTCTCCTTAGGCCTTTCCTTTAAACTGAATTAATGGGCCAAAATAAATCAAGTGAAAGTATTCAATTTTCAAAGACCACATCACCTACTTAATAACAGTTTCTTTGGTTTGACTTTTATCCATGGAAATTTGTCAACCATTAAAGACTTTCTTAACAAATATTTATTAAACTTTTGCATTAAGCTGAGGAAAATAGAAATGAATGAGACCTTTGGTCTTCCTCCTCCTCTGCATGCTTCTTTTTTTCTTCCTAACTAAAATTCTTAGTCATTAAAATCCATCTCAAAAGACACCTCTGGTGTGAAGCTTCCCCTCACTCCCTTTTCTATGCTCATGTGGCACTTGTTCACACCTCTCTTAAGATTCCATGTTGGATATTATTTGTTTACATGCCATTTATCTTCTTTGTTATACTGTACATTTTATGAGGACAGGAACCAGGACTTTCTCTCTTCTCTATAGCTTTTGTTATTGTTTTGTCTTACGATTATTATTATTTTTTTTTGCAGTAAGAATAGCAGACATTCAGTAAACATTTATTAAGTGAATGAATGAATGAGTGGATAGATGTGGCATTTGAGTAACTTCTTGAGATTGGGTAAGGTTTCAACAGGATTGGATGGAAGGTAAATAAAGGGAATAACCTGTGTAGAAGCTGGGAAAGCCCAGATTGAAAATGAGGTTGGCAACCAATATAGTTGTTAAAAAGGCAGGTGTAGGTGGAGAGTGCTTTAACAAAAAGCTGAAGAGCATTGAGAACATTGGTAGTAGGGGCAGAGGTTTGTAGTAATGAAGACAGAGTGATGGTGGAAACAAAATGAAGTGGGAGCTAAGGATGTAGCTCAGTGGTAGAGCACTTGTCTAGCATTCATAGATTCTGGGTTCAATGGATAGCAACATGGCGTGGGGAAAGAGAGAAGAAATAAAGAAGGCAGTAGGTGATTCCAGGGTTCTGTCCTCAGTCTTCATTTCTCATTGTTCCATTACCTCAACATCCACAGTTACTTCCTCAATTTCTTCCTCTTTAGTTGTAGATCATCTGATGATTAAGGAAAGGTCCCTGTATTGGTTGGTTTTAGAGAAACTGGGTTTAGGTTTCAGCACTGACACCAATTAGCCATGAAACATTGAGCAAGTCCCTTTAAACACATGCATTTATTAATGCCCCACCTTGTTCCAGAAAGGATTTAGTGTGTCAGCAAGTTACTTAATATCAGGGCTTCAGTTTCCTCATCTCTAAATGAGAGGTTGGTCTAGGCAATCTAAGTTCCTTCCAGCTCTAACACTTTGTGACACTGATTCCAGTAATTTGATGGTCATCTCCACTTAGGAGTCTTGCCAACATTTCATACTTAGAATATGAAAAAAAAAAAAAAAGAAACAAAACAAAACTGAGCTCATGAGAGGCTAAGGCAGGAGGATGGCAAGTTTGAGACCAGCCTCAGCAACTTAGCACGACACTGTCTCAAAATTAAAAAGAAAAAAAAAAGTTTTTAAAGGCTGGCCAGGGATGTAACTCATTGGTAAAGTGCCCTGGATTCACTCAATTCCCAGCACCACAAAAAATAAAAAATAAAAAAACAGAACCCACAACCCCCCTGATGTTTATATTACTATCCTACCAGTGACCTAGCACCAAATTGTCATCTTCAACTCCTCTAGCCCTTGACCCTACATCCTGTGGCTCTCAACATCTCCCCCTCTCTGTTTAAACAAAAAGCATGTGGCTTAGGGACCGTGCCTGCCTTAGGTTGTCCAATAGTACATATGGTCCTTACCCGTTAGGTTGGTACCATTGCAATTGGATCTTACCCGTCATTGACTACCGGTACGGGCCACCAAATGCCGCAGTCTGGCTGGGCACAATCAGGAGCCACTTGTCAAAAGAAACTAACTTTATTTTTAGAACCACACACGCCAAACAAAACAGCCTCTCAGGAAAAACCCTCAGAGCCTCAACTGCGACCACCGGCTTTCCACAAGCCTCTCTCTCCCACACAAGCTTCTCTCCACCTCCCACAATCCTCCTGCTCTTGAGGCCGATTGGCTGGGTCACGTGGGTGGAGCCAAAAAAGTCCCCCAATGAGCAGCTCCGTGGTCTGAAAGGGCAGGGAAACAGCCCAATGAGCATCACCACAGAGGAGCCAATCAGCAAGATGTTGCTGGGGCCGCTGTGAGCCAATCATCAGCCGGCAGCTGGAAGTTTGCTGGGGCCCCTTCGGCTGTGGCTCTCAACAACATCCTACTTAGTGAGTCATATGGACTCCACAAAGTCATTCCCATCCTTCCCTGACTAGGCCCTTTCCTATGACAACATGTCAAAGACTTTGTTGGCTATCTCTGACCCATTCTCAACTTTTGTTTATCTATCTATGTATCTATCTATCTATTTATTTTCCAGAGACGGAGTCTCACTGTGTTACTTAGGCTGGCCTTAATTCCTGGGCTCAAGTAGTCTGCTTCCATTTTCCAAGTAGCTCAGGCTATAGGCATGTGCTACCATTCCCAGCTGGACCCTCAGTCTTAATATTACTGAATAAATGTTCTACAGTACAGCTCTAATAATGGCAGTATTCTATTCTAAAACCTCTGTGACTCCCAATTGCCTACAAAATATATTCCAAGTTCCCTGGCTAAGCATCTAATACCCTTTATGACCTGACTGTGCAAATTATCTGCCTCATCTTCTCATGACCCCTGTGTGCTAACTGATCTACAGTATGCCTTGAATGTTCCTGCCTCAGGTAATAACCTACCATAACTTTTCGTGACACCTTTGTCTATTGAAATCCTCTCTGTTGTTGTTGTTGTCGTCGTCTTCTTCTTCTTCTTCTTCTTCTTCTTCTTCTTCTTCTTCTTCTTTAACTCTTTGAGGCATTTATCAGGTTCTGTTATTTATTTTAACTACTTGGTAACTTGTCTTAGGCCACTCCACTCTGCATTAAATTGTTGGTTCCTTTAAGGCAGAGACCATGTTTCATCTTTGTTTCCCCATACATACCTGGCACAATACTAGAAAAAATCTGAATTGAGGTAAATAAGATTGAGACGTAGTCTTAAAATCACTTTTCAACATGTTGTAATAGCTAGAAGTTACCTGAACAAATGGTGTGCTTTTATAAATGAGAAAAACTAAGATCAGAGAGGCAGAGTTACTTGTCCACCCTTTCCCTTATGCAGTTCTTTGTGCTCCCCTGGTAACCCCACTTGCAGCTTTATCATAAGTAAATATGTTTTCATTTATTTTCTCCTGCCTGGTCACATTGCTCTCTAGATTGTAGTTGGTCATTTTGACACTGGAAATGTAGATTGGAAGTAGAGTTGATTTGAGCAAATTTGTAGCTATACTGCCTGAGTGGACACTAGGTGGCAGCACTGCAGACAGATTCTAATTGAGGTTTCAATAATGGAACTTAGGCTGGAAGGAACCTTAGACATTGTCCACGCCTTTCCCTCATTTTTGCACCAAAAAGGCAAAAACAAACAAGAACAAGAAACAGGATTGGCTTGCTCAGTAATTATTGAGTGGCAAGTGAATCGTCAGCTTAATTGGCATAAGAGCATTGATTCAGAAGTTGTGAAGCAAGTTACTATATGTAAGGGACTATGTTTGCCAGCTGATTATCTAGTATGTGTATTGTTTTGTGTGTCTAGATCAAATGATGCTGTTTGGAAAAATTTATCAGCAGTTGTGTGGCTTACAGAAACTCCCATGGTCATGTGATTCCAGACACTTCTGGGGCTGGCTGAATGCAGTGTTTAATAAGTAAGTAAGTTACTCTAACAAAAGTGAAGAAATGTGGGGATTACTTTGATGAACTCCCATGGTTATTTCTTGTATTTCCAATTTTTTTTAACAATGTGTGCAGTAAATTACTAATTTTGTTTACAAATAAAACAAGAAGCGCTAGGGTTGTAGCTTAGTGATAGAATGCTTCCCTTGCACACATGAGGCACTGGGTTGGATCCTCATAAAAATAAATAAATACAACTAAAAAAAATTAAAAACAAAAACAAATTAAACAGAAAAAAACAATATAATTACAAAATATATTACTGTGATTCTCTGGATTGCAGGATATTAGTGATTTTTCTTATTTATCTTTTTGATGTATTTCAATTTTTCTAAAATGAACATTTATTACTTTTATAATCAGAAAAACTTAGTAAATATAATTTTTAAATATTTTATAGTTGCTTAAGGAATGTTGTTAACTTTTTAAATAAACTATAACGGGAAATCAAGCTTTTAAAAAATGAGTGGGTGACATGCTTAGAAATACCATTTTGAAACTGATATAACTAACCTCCTTATTGCTTAATATAGAATTGTGATTGTTAACTAAAGGAAAAAAGGCATGTGCAGAACCACTTAAGGAGATTAATTTGAAAATTGATTCAAAGTTATTCCCTCTTTTATCATTAATAAAAGTGTTAACTAATTGTAGTCATTCATTCACTGCATAATTACTAAATATCTCTGGTGTTAAGCCCTGTGATATATATGCATCACTGAAGACCCCTGTCTGCCTGATAAACTCATACAAAAAAAAAAAAAAAAACACCTTGGGACTTGTTTGCTTCCTACCATGTGTGAGGCCCTGGGTTTGATCCCCAGCACCCCAAAATAACAACAAAATATGCCTTGACAGAATTTACCTGGAGATAAAAACAGAAGCAAAAAAGTTAGCTGTTAGAGCAACAGTTGTTTTTACTTTCATGGAATTCATTAATAACTTCTCTTTCCTTTGTCATTAAGATGAAAATGTGTTGCTCTTCTGTATATTGGTGAATGCAATTAAAAAGCTAATGATTATGTGAAAGCAAACTGCTTCTGTTTTCTTGTTAACAGAGTGGATTACGATCGCATCAGGGATGTTGGCCCTGACAGGGCTGCGTCTGAATGGCTATTACGCTGTGGGGCCACAGTGCGCTACCATGGCCAGGAGAGGTGGCAGAAGGACTACAACAACCTCCCAACAGGCCCTCTGCACAAATACAAGATTCAAGCAATCGATGCCACCAACTCTTGTATCATGAGCATTGGATTTGATTACATGGGTAACTGTCTTATTGATTTGTTTATAAGAGATGCAGGTGATTTGCAATGACCATTGTTATAGTCATAGGTATGTCCTTTTTTGCCCATTTCAGTACAGTCAGTTTGGCTTTTTCCTGTATTTGGTATTTATTTTCTCCCTAAGTTTGTTTCTACATGTCTTTTTTTTTAAAATATTTTTTAGTTATACATGGACACATATATTTATTTTGTTTATTTATTTTTATGTGGTGCTGAGGATCGAACCCAGGGTCTTACACGTGCAAGGCCACTGAGCCCCAACCCCAGCCCTATTTCTGATTTCTTCATGATTTAAATTCAAAGCTTTGTCAAACTTCTGCCATTGCAAAACTCACAATAATACAAGAGTAATTCTATCCACATGGCTTCTGCTCCCATGGACATTTCTTTCTTCTGCATCTGACTATAAAATGGCGCTGTAATAAGCACAACCTGTGTAGTGAAAATCTTATATAGTTAATAAGAAGAACAGCTATACCAGTTCTCATAGAACTTTCACTCCTCAAGTCAGGACAGTCCTGGGCAAACCAAAACCATCATTGATTGTAATGGTAAAGCAGATTCGTTTTTTTTTTTTTTTTTTTCCCTCTTTCCACATTTTTTTATTGGTGCATTATAGTTGTACATATTGATGGAATTTGTTGTTATATATTCATACATGCACACACTATAACACTGGGTCAATATCACTCCCCAGCACATACCCCTTCCCTCATATTCTCCCACTCCCGGGTTCCTTTTCTCCATGGATTTCCCTTTGATTTTCATGAGATCCTTCCCACTCCACCCCACACCTTTCTTCTCCTTTTTCCTTTCAGCTTCCACAGATGAGAGAATACATGCAATCCCTGACTTTCTGAGTTTGGCTAATTTGCCTTCACATAATGGTCTCAAGTTCCATCCGTGGCAGATTCTTAAACTGTATTTTTCCTCCCCAGAGGGCCTAGAGCATGTTGAAAAAATAACACTATGCAAGTGTCATTATATTGAGGATGACTGTTTGCAGAGGCTTAGTCAACTTGAAAAATTACAAAAAAGTCTACTGGAAATGGAAATAATTTCCTGTGGGAATATCACAGACAAAGGCATCATTGCTTTGTGTAATTTAAGGTAGGTGGTCAAAGCCAAAATGGAAACTTGATAATGATAAGGTGAATTAATCAGAATTTAAAGCCCTTGAGGGGTGGTGTTTTCTTTTAGTTCTGAAAAATATACTGGAATAAAATTACCTCACTTTTATCTATAATTCTTTAAAACAATTAAATTATCAACCTTAATACGTTAAGGCTTCATGGCATTTAAGCAACATTTTTTTTTTTAATTAAAGCTACATATTGAATGGTGCCAGCCACAGTAATCCCTCTGTAAGCATTAGCTATTGTGCTTCCTTTCCATCTTTTAAAGACATCTCCCCCAATTCTGTATTTTTGGTATCCTGATATTTGGCATATACCAGTTAGCACACAATTCATTTTTTGTTGTTGTTGTTGTTTTGGTTTGGTTTTGGATACTAGGGATTGAACCCAGATACTTTATCACTGAGCTATGACCCTAGTCCATTTTATTTATATTTTGAGACAGGATCTTGCTAGGTTGCAGAGGCGGTCTTGAACTTGTGATCCTCCTGCTTCAGCTTCTCAGGTTGTTGAGATTACAGGTGTGTGCCACCTCATCCAGCTAGCATTTAATTCTTTAAGTTGCTTTAAGTACCTTTCTGTCTCTGGAGCCTAGAACATGCCTCACACTGTAATAAATTTCAAAAACACTGCATTTTGCCAAGCATAGTGGTGCATGTCTATAATCCCAACAGTGTGGGATCACAAATTAAAGGCCTGCTTTGTGAACTTAATAAGACTCTGTCTCAAAATAAAAAATAAAATGGAATGCGGATATAGCTCAGTGGTGGAGCACCCCTTGGTTCAATCCCCAGTACCAAAAAAAAAGGGGGGGAAAGAATGCAGCCGTTGACATGAGAAAGTTGTTTTATATACTCTTCTACCACCAGTTGCCTAGACCCATATCATGGCCTGGAGCATTTAATTCCAAATGCAAAAGTAGATAATACTAGCAAGGAATATTTAATTCTAAAATTGCAGAATTCTGCATCTCATCAGAATGATGAAGAATGTAAGTTTGTTTAATCAAATCCCTATTTTAGGGATACTGTCAAATTCTGAATTTAGGTAATATAGTTCTGCTTTAATGTGTAATGATCTGAAAATGACCTCAGTATCACAGAAAGTTTGAGAAGTTTTAAACATTAGGACAAAAAGTGCTAGAATGTCCATCTCTTCCATAAGTTGAGGCTTGAAAGCTTTATCTTCTAATAGGAACTTGAGTACTTTTAAGAACCTTACCAGTATTTTTCCATTAAGGTTTTATTTCACATGCACAGGATATCTATGCCATTTTACACATGTGATTTTAGAAAAATTGTTACAAAGATTCATGTAATTAGTAACAATAATTTCTAAAGCCTGGCTTAGTTTCTAGCATAAATTTCATTTAAAGTAGTCCTCTGAATACTGCTCTAAAAGTCATTTTGAAGGTGTAGGGTTGATAGAAATACATTCTGTATGTAATTTTTCATTAAAGTTAATAAATCAAATTCATTTTTAAAGCTATAAAAGTAAAAGCCAAATTGAAGTGACTTTTTTCTTTCTCTATTTGCAGAAACCTCAGGTATTTGTTGTTAACTGATCTTCCTGGAGTAAAAGAAAACAAGAAAGAAAATCTTGTCCAAGTCTTTAAGACGGCATTGCCTTCTCTGGAACTAAAATTGAACTTGAAGTAAAATAATAAGAATCAGTAAGTGTCTTACTTCATTATGAAGGATCACTTGAAATTGTTGATCCTAAACAGCAACAAATACTATATAATCATCAACAGAAACTGTAGAGAATCTGTCATATATAGAAGATAAATATTAGATGTGACTCACTAAAGTTTCTAAATTGGAAGTGAGAAATTATGTACATTAAATCATTTTAAGAAAAGTGAAAACTAGGTGACAATTTAATTCTAAATATATTCTTCATGTAATATAAGTATCAATATACTAGATATCTCCTGGTATGTTGACTTAGAATTCTTTAAAGTTATTTAACTATACAATGCAGATTTTTTTTTGTATTAAAACAATTTATATTACAACTTTAAATTTATTGAAGCACATTGTTATAAATGCACAATTATGAAAAATTGGAAGCTAAATTACAGATTCATTGAATCAATTTTGCAGAGTAGTCACTGATTGATGAGGCATGCATTTCATATTGCTTCTAGGATTTGCACACATTTCTCATGATCCTGAATTCCTGTGTTCTTGATAGTATATGCACTTTCTTAGAATGAATATTGCTGGTTAATCTAGCATACAAGTTTAAGCTAGTGTTTCATTAAAATTGGACATAGATACTTGATTGAATAGTTTTGTCAATTGGAACAGAACAGAGGGTGACAATTGTAAAGACCAGCAGGCCACGCTGAACTTTTTGTACTTCAATTAAAAAACTGCTTTAAACAGAAAATTGTAATGTACCAATCATAAGCTAGTTTTTCTTGACTTGAATATTTTGGATGCTACCACCTATGAGTTCAAGAGACATCAAAAAGAAGTATAAACACAAAAGTCAATTTATATCTAGAAAACAGTAATAAAGAAGGAAAGAAGGTCATAAATAGATAAAACAAGTCTTTATTTTTACCTGCATGAAATAGCTCTTATTCTATTATTATTTATGTCAATTTGTTAATGGATTTCTGTATGTTTGGTTTGAACATTAAGCTATTGAATATAAACTTAACTAGAAATTATTTTAAAATAAACACTTTCTATGATGAATCTTTCAGATTGAAAAATTAAATTTAATTGTGTTTAATAAGGAAATATTCACTTTTCATGGATAAAATGAACTATCTTATGGAAAGCATAAAATGATATAGCATTTATTAATAGTGATTCCATACTGAATAAAAGGATTATAGATATGGTTGAATTGAGCATATGCATAAATTTAATAGACTTCATTAGAGAAAAATGAGCCCTTTTTCTTAGGTTTGTTTCATCACTGTGTGGTGAGTCAACTGATTGACCACAATTTAGTCTGGAACTACTTTTCTAAATGTTTTTCTGTAAAACTATTGGATGAATATAATCATCTGCTTCCATAAAATACATTTTCTTGGATTAAGGGAAAAAAGAAAAAAAATTTATTGACAAAAGTTTGATGTCCTTATCATTTGAGTCAAGACTGTGTTACAAGAATTAAATAATACTGAGACAATTATTTAACCCACTATCTGTTCTATACAAGAAGCTACATATTAGGAAGCCTTAAGGCTGGCTAGGTCACCAGAATTATTGAATAGATGACAGAATTTAGTGGATTAATTAGCAGTAAGTGAATAGGTTCAAGTGCTGTCATGAAGAAAATTAGGAGCACATCAACCAGAAGTGGTGTTGAGTTCTAAGAAATAAACATGGAGCTTCATATTATTCCTGTGTACAGGACACAAAGATTAAAAGCTTTATGATTAGGAGCAGTAGGCCAAATCAGAGCTAATGCTAAGTCTCACTGTACAAACTAAGAATCCTCAACAGAATTCCTTTCCCTCCCCCTACATACACTCTATTGGGGATTAAACTGAGGGGCACTCTCTGGGCTATATCCCCAGCCCTTTTTATTTTATTTTTGGGGAGGATCTCACTAAATTGCCCAGACAGTTATAATCATCTGCTTCCATATTTCTTGGGTTAAGGAGTAGGGTGATAGAAATATATAATGTATTTCTATCACAAACTTGTCTCAGCCTCCTGGGTAGCTGGGATTACAGACATGCACTACCACATCCTGCTGGACTACTTTCTTTTAACTTATATTTGTTAGGATTGTGTTATATAACACACACACATGCACATGTGTGCATGAGTATATACATATGTGTGTATATGTATTTTTTTTTGTATATATATATATATTATATAAGAAGATATGTCAGGGAAAACATCAGTCAACACCTGTTATGGTTTGGATGTGAGGTGCCCCCAAAAGCTCATGTGTGAGACAATTTGACAAGATTTAGAGGAGAAATGATTGGGTTATGAGAGCCTTAACCCAAATGGTGAATTAATCCCCTAATAGGGATTTACTGAGTGGTAAGTGAAGGTGGGTATGGTGTGGCTGGAGGAGGTGGGTATTAGGGCCATGCCTTTAGGGTATATATTTTTTATCTGGTGAGTGGAATTTCTCTCTGCTGCCTGATCATCTTGTGAGCTGTTTTCCTCTGCCATGATGTTCAGCTTCACCTCAAGCCCTGAGGAATGGAGCCAGCTGCCTATGGACTAAGACCTCTGAAACTGTGAGTTCCTGAATAAACTTTTCCTCTTCCACAATTTTTATGGGCAGGTTACAGTGGCAAAAAAAAAAAAAAAAGCTGACTAAAACAACATCCTATTATCTTTCATGACTCAAGTAAAAGTTCATAAGCAGTTTCTTCTAAAACCCAGATCACTATGCATTTCTACCCACAGAACTGTCTCCAAAGCCTGAGGCTAAGCTGGAGAGAATAAAGTACTTATTATTTTCAGGCTGACAGATTCAGTCCCTGTGAAGCCTGTAGGTCTTGTTCTACCCCTTGACCACCTTGGTCAGCTGCCAGGCTTCATGCCATTGTTTTCAAGAGGAATTAGGTGAACAAGTGTGGACAGATTATAATAAATCCATCTTGCTGCAAAAGTGACTAAGATGCATCCTTTACTAAAGGTAAAGACAAAAGTATTTTCAAGAAATGTATAAACATAATCATTAAATGTACAGGCAATCACAAAATCTTTATATTAAACATAAGATTTTAAATACTTTGAATAACTTAAAAAAAACTTTAAAACAAAAATCAAGAGACAGAGCAAGCAGGAAATGGAATTTTAAACATTTTGATTTCAAGAACTACAACTCTGCTTACATTGATGTCAAACTATCTGCAAGGCAGAAGTTAGGACTCGGGGCAACAGAGATCCAAGGAAATACATATGGACATTTTGTAATTCATTTTTCATATGTGGCATACAGTATAACTAAAGCATAAATCTTTTTGACATCATCTAATTTTTCTAGAAGTATGGGCAGTGGATATAGTTTATATTCTGTCCATAAGCTCAGCTTCTTAGATAAACAAAAATACAAGTGAAACTCCAAGTTTGTTTTTTTTTTTTCTATTCTGGACACCATCATCACGCATGGAAGACTGAATCTGGAATTTCCCTTCATATCTTGCCAAGTGGCTTCCCAGTTGTTTATATTTTCTCCTGGGGTGTTTTCAACACTGTGCTTGTTTTTAACTAAATGTGTAAGTTTTCTTTTCTTCAACTTATTGGTCACTTCTTCCTTTATCACCAATCTCCTAGCTTCTTAAATGTTTGGAAAATGGTAGTTAAATCTCTTGGTATTACAGTAGTACTTCTTATTCTCCAAAGCTGGAAGGATGTTATTGCTAGTAAGCTGAGGTAAGTACTGCAACTGAAAAGACAAAACCAGAAATAGATTCAAAACAATGCCGTGCATTGTTTTCATTATTTAGAATACATCACAAAAGAGGTAATTAAGCAACTTTTCAGCACAAATACTTTTTTTGGCACAAACGTAGAACCTGAGAGACAAAAGGTTTTAATTTGGTCTTTGCTTTTCCTTTTAAAGGTTTGTTTTACATTAAAAAGCAAATACACACATTAAAGAGAATTTAGAGAATATTAAAAAAATAAAATCTACAATGTTAACATTATTGTGAAATAACATAGGTTTATAGGAGTTGAGAGCTTGCTGGGACCTTAGGAATAATTTAAACCAATTCCCTGCCTTAGAGCAGAGAAAACTGATGTCCAGAGCATGAAGGAAATTTGCCTTTTATTCCCTTAAAAAGGCAAAACTACTTCCTTTGAATTTTCAGAAAATTAAATTTATTGTCAATGTTAAATGAAAGTAAGGAGAACATACTTTTTTTTCTTTCTTTTTTTTTTTTTTTTTGGTATTATATTATAAGGCCTTAAGCATCTGAAAAGAAGGTACTTCTTTTAGACCAAACAATCAAATCCTTCAGGACTTAAAAGCAATATACCAAACAGGTTCCACTATCCTTTCAAGGAGAAATACTTCCATCAGGTTTCTTTGCTCTTCAACACAAAGTAACAGTGAGATGCGGATAACCCTCCAGTCAGGAGGTGGGGAATCTATTTCTGGCCTGTTTTGCTATCTGGGTCATATATAATAAAGAATGAAACTAAAACATTCCTAACGCTGTGACTGTGTGTGGCCTATCTCAGGGCCCTGGAGATCATATAGTACCTATTCCTAATGAACTCTCCACCTCTTCCCTTCTCCAAACCTCACACACAATATGCATTCAAGATGAATGCATATACTGATGCATTTAATGCAGTGGAAGCTGCAAATGCAAAAACTAAAGTAAGATAGTTTATAGCTTAAGGAGTGCCTAGGTATATTCAGAAGTGACCAAGAGCAACCAGTCATTCTTAGCTGTGGTTCTAACTATAGACCAGAGATTGTTACAGCTTTTGCCTTCTGACAAAATATAAGGTCATTTTACCAATCAAGATTTTCCACAGGCTCCCAGTGTGCAGTTTGTGTGCTATTCTCTGATTCAATGTGCTGTCCCGTTGAAAGCACTGCAAACATTCATTGCTGTAGTAACCCTAGCCAGCTCTGATAATTAAAGGATCAGGAGAAAAAATAGTTCCCTTTTTTGGATAAGCCTGGAATGTTTATTCTGAAGGTAAACATGATGACAAAGAACTTCCTGGATAGATTTGATTTCATTCCCAGTGCAAGAAGCACATTCAGCTGGACTTACACTGATGTACCTGATTGAGATCTGTGCTCATGTACATCAGAAACCCTTGCCCCTGTATGGCAGCAGGAAACAACAGGGCAAGGACCTCAGAAGATGGGTATCTTTGGGGTTGATAGATGGTGTGACCTGTTTCTTAGGGCTGAAATAAGGGTGCTAGAGCTGTTAGCCACAATTGCCACCCTCACGTCTAGATGCCAACTCTGAACCAGGTGGCAGGTATGGGATCATTTGAAACTATAACCTTGGTTGTTTCTGTAAAGCAGTGCACCATTTTTACCCCAGGCAGGTGCTTTCGGTTCTGTCTTAAAGTCTTCCTTGTTGGTTTGTCTTGTTCTTTTGTCAAATCCCCTACTTCTCTGATGCTGTCAAAATATGGGTGCTGCAACAGCTGTTCACATGTCAATCTCTCAGCAGGGTCCATGTGGAGGCAACCCTGAAAGAAAAAAAAATTCCTTCTAATTGTAGGAACTTACTAATTTCATTTTTCTTTTCTGAAAGGCTAAAGTTTTTAAGATTGATTTTATTTAAAAAATTATTTTAATTGACACATAATTTACATATTTATGGAGTACAATGTGATTATTTCACACATGTATATGCATGATAGGTTATGATCAAATCAGGATAACTAGCATTTGCATCTCCTTAGACATTTACCATATCTTTGTGTTGGGAACCTTCTAACTCCTCTCTTCTAGTTCTTTATAAAATATATAACAAATTGTTGTGAACTATAGTCACCCTACTGTGCTGTGGCACACTAGGTCTTATTCTTCTATAGCCCCCTTCTCCTACCTTCCAAGCCTCTAGTGACCACTGTTTTATTCTCTACTTATGTTATATCAACCTTTTCACCTTCCATATATGAGTAACAATGTGGTATTTGTGAAAGACTAAACTTTGGTTATGAATAACAAGGGGAAAAAGTAAGGAAAACACAGGTCATGCATGGTTTTAGCTCCTTCCACAGTCATTCCTAAAGGTGTATCCACATAATAAATAAGTCTCTAGAAGCAGAATCAAAGAATTCTCTCTACCTTGTTCTATTCCTGAGTCAGCTGGTGTTCTGCCATGGGGAAGTAGGATATAATTTTGGAGTTTACCCCAGTGGCCAAATGGGACAATCCACTTAACCATCTTGATATATTTTAGGTGCTTTGTTTGTTTGTTCGAAAACAGTTCTCACTGTATTGCCCAGGCTGTCCTTGAACTTGCAATCTTCTTGCCTCAGCCTTCCAAGTAGCTGGAATTACAGGTGTATACCACCATGCCCAGCTTTCCTTCAGGTAGTTTGTAAAAACTTTATTTAGAAATACTATTTATATGTAATACAAATAAAATTCATACAGTAAAATCAAAGTCTCTGCCACTCATCTATTAACTCTACTGTCTCTTCCCATTCCCCATTCCATCTTTTTATTTAATTTAGTGTGACTTTTCAGAAACAGTCTGTGCATTATAAGCATATATGACTATGAATGTGAGAAAAGTGTAATACATATGCCTTTATATTACATCATTCTTAACTATTTTCTTTGTCATTAAGTAGGCCGTAGGGCTTACACTTGGATAGATAAATCCCACAACTACATACCCCAATTAATTGCCTCACTTTTTTTTTATAAATGCATCAGCAAATGTATTAAATAGTTTTTGAAATATGTAAGACATTGATTATAACTTGCAAATAGTTAAAAGTGAGGTACCATACCTCATTTTACATAATGGCTATATTTCTAAAAATGTATATATAAGTAAAGTTTTAAAATCAAAATGTACTTCACATGTACTGGGGCATTCACTATTTAAAGGATCATATAGTTCTGCATTTTTTCTTTTAAAGAAAAAGATCCTTTTATAAGGATCCTTTTACAAGTACCACTTCTTTGAAGTTTCTATTTTGTGTAAATTTAGATTTTAAATACATGTTAGTTTTATTTAAAGTGAGAAATTCTTTCAGATGTTTTCACTATAATAGAATGTGACCCATTTTAAAAGTTGAAAATATTTAAGCTTTTTGAAAGAGAAGAATCCTAAAAGGAACACTTCATTTTGTGGATTGCCATAAGTAATTCAGATTCCCCAATGATGACATTTGTGTGCTTCCATGTCTGTGGAAAGCCATGATTTTACCTTTAGGAGCCCCAGGGCAGGATAAGAGATGTTTGGAAATTTTAACTCAAGTGGTTCCTGTTGAAAAGAAAAGGGGTTTTTAGTATACCGCATGTATTCAAATTAAGTTACCTCAAATTAAATTTCCTTTGAATAGAAATGTCTTCCTAGCACCTTCCTTGCCTCCTCCACCCTTTCCCACTCCACCTCCCATCAGAAATCACCTCCTTATGTCTGTTTCACAAGCTCATTCTCTCCCCACCTCCAAAATGTTTTTCCAAATTCACTTCCTCAAGAAGATGGCAAATCAGTAAATACTAATGAAAAAAAACAAAACAACAATAAACACTTGCAGAGCAATTGTTATTTTTTTTTCTGCCTCAATTTATATAACCTGCTTTACCTGAGAATAACTTTTGGCATTTATAATGGCATTATAAAAAGGGTCTCTAATTATATAACAGCTATTGACATTTATATAAGAGAATTTCAAAATAGATTCCCCCCCCCCCCACCCAGGTGAACAGATGCTTCTTAGACTTCTGGAATAAACACTGTTGTCTCCTCCCACAAAAACCTGCTGCTGTTTCTCTGATCAGCTCACAGTTTAAAGAGTCTCTTGAGCCAGGATTCACCAATCTCCCTTTGGCCATATAAGGCTATTTTGCTCTAGTCATGCTGGAGTCAATCAGGAATAACACTATAAATGGGAGGAACGCTGCCCCATGTCAGGCAGACAAATAGGCCAGTTAAAGAGACATACCACTGACAAAGGCTAATTGAGGAGGGAAGCTGAGAAAAGAGGCAGCCAAGTTGAGCAAAATAAATGACCACAGTACATTTTGTATATAAAGATGGCAAATCTTTTTTTTTTTAATATTTATTTATTTTTTTTAGTTTTCGGCGGACACAACATCTTTCTTTGTATGTGGTACCGAGGATCTAACCTGGGCCGCACGCATGCCAGGCAAGCGCCCTACCGCTTGAGCCACATCCCCAGCCCAGCAATTAATTCTTGATTGTGCACATGCTAATCACTGATGAGAAGAGAGAAGAGCCTCCCTTTTGGAGTTCCCTGTATTCAAAAGGAGGGGGGAAATCCTAAAGCTGATCTGTCTTTGTCCTTGAGAGCCTTCCCTCAACCCTCATAGCCTAAATAGTTCTTTGCTCTGTGTGTTAAATGTGAGCACCTCTGGGAACTGACATGACATTACTCACATCAGGCTCTGCTGGCTCAGCAACAGTGCCTGGGTTGAGGCCAGCTGGTTGGCTGTGAGATGTCAGGGCCCATCCTGCCTGCTGAACCAGTCTCCCAGCCCAGAAGCCAGTGGGACTCCCTAGTCAGGGTTAGTGACCAGCAGGGGGACTGGAGCACAGATGTTCAACCAGTGCAGCTCCTGCACTGCTTCTTCCTGTGTTTCTGTCAACAGGAAATCTCCTGCAAGACAACCTCTGGGACACCATGGGAAGTTTTTTTCATTTATGAAACCAGGACTTTTTCTGAAACTTCACTAGTAGACAATCGAACAGGAAATTGCTGAGGAATATTTGGTGCAGAACTGGAAATGTACAGGTCACAAGAGAGTCAGTTGGGTCACCTCCCATATGCCAGATTTTATTCCTGCTTATCCAGCATGACCCACTTTTCCTAGTGCAGGAAGGGGTGTGCTAGGGAAGTGGAAGCCTTAGCTGTGGGACAAGCCCAGGAGGCTGAGGGAAGAGGAGATGTAAATGCAAGGGACAGGCAGAACTTCCATCTGGAAAATGTCAGCAATGTAAGAGAGTGTTAGTTTCAGTTTGAAAATACCTTCCTCAGACCACAGGAACTCTGGGTCTCACAAACCTCGATTATGCTCTGAAATGTTCTTTGTTTGGCAGCACTAGAGCTAGAACCTAGGACCTCACTGATGTTGCATATTTTATTAAACATTTAATTTATGTCAAATTAAACATGCTGTTCTATAAACTTTGTTTTTCCTTTAACAACATGTTGTGTCCTTTTTCAGATGAATACATATAAATCTAAATATTTTTCCAGGCTATGACATAGTTCTACTGCATGGATGTAGTATAATAATCCCCTGCTGATGAACACTACAAGAAATTGTTTCTGTTAAATGCTACATCTTTATGCCTTGTCTGATGGTTTTATTGAGATAAATTGTTGAAAGTAGGTTAAGGGGGGCTGGGGTTGTGGCTCAGCGGTAGAGTGCCTGCCTAGCACATGCGAGGCCCTGGGTTCAATCCTCAGCACCACATAAAAATAAATAATAAAGATATTGTGTCCAACTAAAAAATAAATATTAAAAAAAAAGAAAGTAGATTAAGGGTATGAGCATTTTTAATTTTTCAGTTCTTTTAAAAATGTTTTTTTCTACATCAGCCACAGAAAACAGGAACCAGAGTGAGGCTTGCTTAGAAAGTTCATTATGTTTTTCCCCCATGATCTGAGAGTCAGTAACAGTAGAGTATGGAATCTGAACAATGTTGGGTAGTTATCTTTTCCTTCATGGGCCAGTGTCTGGTTTGTCTAAAAGTTGACTGGCTCTGAGCTACTGAGGATCAGTTGATGAAAATGATAAGGGACAAGTACAGCTGGGGCAGACAGTTCTGCATTCCTGTCTGACAGGCTGACTAAACTCTGTTATCTAAATTAGCACTGAAAGCTGAGATCTCGTTAACCCATTTGCTCCCATGTTCTTTTTCACTCTAATACAAAACTTCCAGTACAGGGTGAGCTATGGCAGATGAAGAAAGTGAGTAACTACCAAGACTTAGCTAGCCTGGTCTGAAGAGCTCTCTCCAAAATGGATTACTCACCACATCTTCAGGGTCTGGAATTTTCACCCCACTGAAGTACTGATTCGTGCTAAATACTTGCTGGTGTCTAGGAATGAGATCTCCTGGAAAAGAAAGAAGGAAGTGAGATTGGTTACCAAACACTAATCTATGGTCTCCCTCCACGGAAGCTGTGTTTGTCTGTACCTGCACCTACAAAGGGGGCAGTTCTCTTTTCCAAACAGAAGGAGAAGCATTCAGGCGAAACAGCCTACACTGAGCTTTACAGTGGACAATGCACCTTTATTTGGCTCAGAGATGGTAAGCAACAGAAGTCTAAGTCAGCAAGGTTTTGTCTGGTTTGTCTAAAAGTTGACTGGCTGGAGGGCTTACAACCTGTTTGAGGAATCCAAACCAAGCAACTCAAGTAGACACACAAATAAAATAATGCCTTTTTAAAAAGTAACAAAAGGGCAACAACTATAAGGCATTTGATAAATATTTTCAAAGGGAGGGAGGAAAGAAATCACAGAAAATTTTCTAGCCAGAAGGAACACATTTTCAAACTGGAACCATCTTTTCTTAATTTACCAATTAGTGATCAATTGGAAATGCCATTTCATCTACTGTTGAGAAGCACTTACAATGTAAAGGATTGATACAAAAGGAGCATATCTGTATTTGAGGGGACATGTGAAGCTCAGCCTGCCAAAATTGCAGTTAAATGGGCTAAAATCATCCTCATATAAAATTCTAGGGATAATACCCTTAAAGAAAAATTTGTTCAGAGAATATAAGGAGGGAATCCTTAAGGCACACCCAGCCCCACTTTCCAGAGCAGACTGAAAAGCAAAAACTTTCCAATCAAGGGCCTGTGCATGTCTCCATTGGACTGAACTAGAGTTCCTACACAAGGGCATCAAATTGTCTTAAGTTTACTGATTTTAGAACTTTACCTCTCATTCAAATCTAAAACCTTGCTCCATTTTGGAGGAGGTCAAAATATAGTTTCTAATGCCTCTGTCTCCATCCTCAGTGGTTTCCTTGTGAGCACAATCCCCTATGCCCTAATGACCTTCCATCAGAGCTGGAGGGATGACACAGAGAGGGTGTCCTAAATCACTGGGGGAATTACATCCACAGAAGACTAGATGCCCCTGAAAGGGTTACAAGGTGTCTACAATGTGCAGACATTGGTTGTTGATAAGTACAAATATAAGACACCATCTCACCATCAAGCAGCTTATAGTAGAAGGCAAGACATGATGATGGCAGGTGCTATAAGAGTTTATGGAGTAGGAAAATTTTGCTTTAAACTGGGATACTTAGGAGAGTAGTATCTAAACTCTCTGCCTTCTGAAAAGGGCAGTCTTTGCCTATGAACCTTTTCATCTGTCCCTCACTTTCTCTTCTTTCTTCTCCTCTGCTCTTACCACTCCCCTCAAGGAGAAAGGAAAGGGCATAGAGGTGGGAAAGAAGGAAAAGAGAAGTAGCATTAGAAAGAGCCAGTCTTTCTGCCTTATACTTAGAAGTTTGGGAATCTTCCTACATAGAGTCTGAATAATCCAAACTAGTCAGACAGGCTGAAGTTAGGGATATCCAAATGAATTAACATATCATAATACAAATTGAGCATCCCCAGTCCCAAAACCTGAAATCCAAAATGTTCCAAAGTCTGAAACTTGTTGAATACCACCATGATGACAAAAGTTTAAAAATCCACATTTAATCTCATGTGATTGTAATCAAAACACAGCTGCACTAAAAATACTGTATAACCTTCAGGAGAAATAAAGTGAAGAAGAACCCAGAAGATGGAAAGACCTCCCATGTTCATGGATAGGCAGAATCAATATTGTTAAAATGGCCATACCACCAAAAGCAATGTACAGATTCAGTGCAATTCCCATCAAAATACCAATAGCATTCTTCACAGAATTAGAAAATATACTCCAAAAATTGATTTGGAAGAATAAAAGACCCAAAGCAATTCTAGGCCAAAATAGAATACCTGACTTCAAATTATACAACAGAGCTATAGAAACATCACAATACCTGACTTCAAATTATACTACAGAGATATAGTAACAAAACTGAATGGTACTGGCATAAAAACAGACACATAAACCAATAATATAGGATGGAAAACACAATAGAGACACCATATAGACAAACCCACACAGATACAGTCATATGATATTTGACAAAAATGCCAAAAACATACATTAGAGAAAAGACATTTTAAGCAAATGGTACTGGGAAAACTGTTTATCCATATGTAGAAAAATGAAACTAGACCCTTATCTCTTACCCTGCACAAAAATCAACTCAAAATGGATCAAAGACCTAAGAATTAGACCAGAAACTATGCAACTCTTAGAAGAGAACACAGGGTCAACATTCTAGCATATAGACATGGGCAATGACTTTCTGAATAAGACCCTTAAAGTTCAGGAAATAAATGGTATGGCATCAAATTAAAAAGTCTCTGCACAGCAAAGGAAACAATTGGGAATGCGAAGAGAAAATCTATAGAATGGGAAGAAATCTTTGCTGGCTACTTTTCTGACAGAAGATTAATATCTATAAAGAACTCAAAATGCTTTACACCAAAAAATCAAATAACCCAATTAATAATGAGCAAATGAATTAAATAGACATTTCTTAAAAGAAGAAATACAAATGGCCAATATGTAAAAAAAAAATGTTCAATATCATTAGCAATTAGGGAAATGCAAATCAAAACTACACTGAGATTTCATCTCACACCAGTCAGAATGGCAACCATCAAGAATACAAATCATAATAAATTCTGGAGAGGATGTGGAGAAAAAAGAATACTTTTACACTGTTGGTGGGACTGCAAATTAGTTCAACCACTATGGAAATCATTATGGAAGTTCCTCAAAAGGCTAGGAATGGAACCACCAAATGACCCAGCTATACCACTCCTTGGATTTATACTGCAGAATCAAAGTCATCATACTACAGTGATACATGCATACCCATGTTTATAGCAGCACAACTCACAATAGCCAAACTGTGGAACCAGCCTAGATGAATAGATTTTTAAAATGTGGGATGTGTGTGTGTGTGTGTGTATACGCATATATATATACACACACAATGGAGTTTTATTCAACCACAAAGAAAAATGGAATTATGGCATTTTCAGGAAAATAGATGGAACTAGAGATCATTATGTTAAGCTAAATAAGTCAAAATCAGAAGGTTAACAGTTGTATGTTTTCTTTCATATGGAGAAGTAGAGAGAAAAAAGGAAAAGAAAGGTGGGGGCAGATCTCAGGAAAATCAAAGGGAAGTCAGTAGAAGAAAGGGACCAAGGAGTGGGATAGGGGAGGAGGGAGGAAGTGCTGGGAAGTGATATTGGCAAAATTATATTGTTACATTGTATAGTGTATGCATGTATAAATATGTAACAACAAATACCATCAGTGTGTACAACAATAACGCACCAATAAAAAAACATGTAGGGAAAAAAGTAAAAAAAAAATTACCTTTAGGATCGTGTATAATTGTATATGAAATATAAATGAATTTCATGTTTAGACTTGGGCCCCATCCCTAAGATATCTCATTAGGTATTTTGTAAATATTTTTTTAAAAAATCCCAAATCTAAAAACTTCTGGTCCCCAACATTTTGGATAAGAGGTACACCATCTGTAAATGAAATAAACCATGAAAGCATTCTGTGAACTACTTACTAAGCCCTGGCAGAAATGTTCCTACTGTTGCCATGATTATTTTTCAGAGGTTAACTTGGTCTAAACTATGCTCAAGAGAGAATCTCATGTCTTTTGGATAATTAGTAAATACTCAATATTATCATTATTAAAACAAACTTGGACACATTTAATAGAGCCATTTCAATGAGGCTCTAAAGTTGTTGCCTTTTCCTAACCGTAAAGAGGATCAGATGGGCCGGGAACTTGGCTCTGCCTGCACTGCCAACATGGGTAAAACTATGCAGTTTCCCAAATGGTGGAACAAAAACACTACTTACCCAAGGTTTTCCTAATCAGATAGAGTTGATCCACATCTGATTTCCCTGGCCACAGAGGCACTCCTGATAGCAGTTCAGCAAAGACACAACCAACTGCCCAAACATCCACAGGAGGTCCATACTGTGTGTCCCCCACTAACAGCTCTGGGGAGCGGTACCACCTGGTAGCCACATAGTCTGTGTAGCAGTCACTTGGTCCAGCTTGCCAGTGATAGAACATGGAAAACAAAGTGGTGGAAACCTGGAGTCAAAACTGGGAGGGAAAGAACTAAGAAAGCAAGTTTGCCCTCAAGCTTGTGGCTTTTTGAAATTGCTGTTCTCCATGCTGGTTGCACATTAAAATCACTTGGAATGTAGTATTTTTTTAAAATTACTGATGCTTAGGCCACACCCCAGTCCAATTATATCAGAATCCTTGGGAAGGGCCTAGGCACATCAGTTTTTAAAGTTGCCCAGATGATTCTAATCTTCAGTTAAGGTTGAAAACTCCTCTTCTAAAATAGTATTTTTGGAAAGTATTATTTTAGTACAACCTAGTAGAAGCCAGAATAGCATACTTTTTAACATTTTTTTTGTATTTAAAATTTTTTTTTAGTTGTAGTTGGACATAATATCTTTATTTAATTTATTTATTTTTATGTGGTGCTGAGGATCAAACCCAGGTCCTTGCACGTGCTAGGTGCACACTCTACTGCTGAGCCACAACCCAAGCCCAGAATAGCATACTTTTTAATAACATTTTTCTTTGGAATAATTTTCATATAGCATACATATCTATCAAAATCACTGTATGTGTCTACATTTTCAAATTATAAATACATTATAGAATTCTGAAATTACACAATTCTAATTTATAGCAAGCTTATGCTTTAAATATACAAGAACTAGCTTTCTCTAGCATCTAGATTCTTTAACATATCAAGACCATTTCCATCTTTAACACTTAACTAAAGAAAACTTCAATACTCACTCAAAAGCCGAGCAAATCCAAAGTCACAAAGCTTAATCACTGAATGTTTTGTAATAAGGATATTTTCCGGCTTCACATCTCTATGTATGCACTAGTTACAAAAACCATAACAAAATCAGATTACAAAGGAGTGACCATAATACATGACATAAATAAAACACCTGAACATTTAGCAAATAATGGATAAATCATTTGAATCTTTCATTAGCCTGTTGGATAAGAGCAAAGCAACGACCTAAAATATATCTAGATCCATACCTATAGCTCGAATCATCCCCAAAAGGGTTCAAAAGAACCATGAATAATAAAAAGGAAAAATGAAAATAGGGCAGTCAGCAAATAAAAATATATGGCAACTAGTTAAATTTGAATTTCAGATAAAAACTCTTTTTTTTTGTCAAGAATTGAACCAGGGACTCACGCATGCTAGGCAAGTACTCTACCACAGAGCCACATCCCCAGCCCCAACAAACATTTTTAAAATAGAAGCATGTCCCATGCAGTATTTGGAACATACATATATTAAAAAATGTATGCTTGTGTATCTGAACTTTGAACTTAACTAGTAGCCCTGCCTTTCATCTGATGACTGTAGGTGAAAGGGAAAATGGTAAAAGGCTCTGAGTGAGGCTTGTGTCAGGGTTGCAGGAGCTCTGAGTTGGTGCATAAGCAGAATTCACAATGGAGTTGCTGAGCTGAGAACACAGCTGGCCTGGTAAACAGGACAAGCCCTGGGCCTGCTGAGATAAGCAGGGAAGAGAAGGGTGGGAACCATGAGCTTGCCAGGAGATCTCCCTTTCAGCTCTGACATTTGTCCCGACAAGATAAACAAGAACAGGCAGCAGTCCTCACCCTCTGGGGAGAGTCGCTAGATGTCAGCTCTGCCCCACAACACATCTTGCTCACAGAGCTGTATCCACCCCTTGGATGTGCCTCCTGCTCCATAATTTAGACTGCAGTCACCTGTGGTTTTCAGACCGCAGCCTACATTCCTTAACAGAGTGGTATTAGAAGAACATTTGAGAGTCTTCATACAACTTTCTTATTAAATGATAATTTTCTTGACAAAAAAACAAACCAAAAGCCTAAGTAATAATTGCATTTAAAAATTCAGTTGGGCCAAAATTACCACTCAGGGTTGCTAATAACCTTCCCTTCTCCCAAGTGTTTTTCTCTCTACAAGGGAATGCTTCTTTCTGCAACCTCAGAGACCCCTTTGGTACCCTGAAGCCCTGGGGTTATTCCTGACTTTCTAGAATCTGGAGATAGGAGAGGAGTTCTTCTTGGGCCTGGATGGTTCTCACTCCAAAGAATGGTAAGGGTAAAAGGGACAGGGCTGTAGCTCAGTGGCAGAGCACTTGCCTCGCAAGTGTGAGGCACTGAGTTGGATCCTTAGCACCACATAAAAATAAACAAATAAAATAAAGTCAATCTGTCCGTCTACAACTACAAAAAAATTTAAAAAACAAAATGTTAAGGGTGAGAGATCAGCATCAGTGTTTTCCCATAAATATTTATTAGTCTAGAAAATTTGAAAGGGGGCAATATTTTCATTATTCTATTATAATCTATCTAGTTTTCACAATTAGGCACTGAGGTCTCTTTTATCACTGGCTTCACATTTTACTATAAATGGGTACAACCATGAATATCATGGTGACATATGGTCAGAAGTACTTGTAAGCAAGAATGTGCTCCCATTCTGTTCTGGGAATTCTTTACAAGTTTCTGCACCCTCCCCCATCAGCACATGGAGCCAAACAGAGCATTTGGGGCTCTCCAGGGAACTGTGGTATGCATTATATTTGTCTTTACTGCCTCAGATCTTCTCCATGATGGCCTTCATGTCTCTCTCTCTCTCTCATCTTAAAATCTACTCTCAGGAAAGTACCAACCATTGTTCACAGTGACTAGCAATATAAAGTGTTAACTCTCACGGCTGTGCAATAATGATATTTTATTTTCTTTTCAGTGCTGGAGGTCAAACCCAAGGCCTTACACAGCCTAGGCAAGTGGCCTGCCACTGAGACACATCCCCAGCCCTGATAAGGTTAATGGTTAATGGAGGCTCAGTAGGGAGAGGTGCTGGGTACACTCATATTTTCTCCACCTGGAAAGCAGCTTCAGAAAAAAATCATTTGGAACAGCCCAAGGAAGGGGATTTAGCCCTACTGGCTCAATTGATGCTGACACTTGGTGGGTTGACAGATTACAGCTGAGTTGCATTCATGGCCAACATGAAGTTCCAACACTGGAATTAATGTTTTTGTTGTTGTTGTTGTTGTTCTTCTTCTTTTTTTTTTTTTTTTTTTTTGTGGTACTGGGAATTGACCCAAGGCCTCCACATGGTAGGCAAATTCTCTACCACTGAGCTGTATGTCAGCCCTGGAACCTGGTTACCATGACAGGGAGTGGGCAGGATTGTCCTAGAGGGCACAGCAGGCCTGCCAGAATCAGTGAAGTCACACCACCCGGGCAATAGTCCATTGTGCCTCTCACCAGCCCAGCTGTGGACAGGAGTACAAGAGGCTTCCACTGGGCTACTCCAGTTCTGACTTAGCACTCATATCTCACCAAAGCACTTGTGCACTGGGCTTGGGACTCCACCTACTACAAAGGGCATATTGCCACCAAACAGGCAGAAAGCACCTTCCGATTTCAGAGCCTCTGCAGGGGGTACAAGTCCAATATAGACTTCAAGTGAGTAGGGATCTTTCCATCTTAGATTTGAGAAGTTTCTAAATAGATGACTATATTCTTAAAATAATTTTAAAATGCATGTCTTATAAAATTGAGCAAAAAAATTAAAAAGGAATAGATAGATTAGTCTCTTTTTGCAACCAGGCTAATCAAAGTTTGAGTGAAAACTATACCCACAAAAGTATGATTAAAAATGTTGTACAAAGTTTCTCCTCGGCTTGAGAGAAGGCTTCTGTTTTCCAAGGGAGATCATGAGACTTACATTGTGTTTATGGCAAAAGTTTACAGCTTGCAGTGTCTGCCAAGTTATACTCTTCACAAGATGTTCTGGTACCCTAATAAAAATAAAGAAGCATCACAAACACATTCTTTAGTGTAGTTAGGGAGTTCAGTTCAAGAAAAGAAAACGTAAACCAAGACAGGCTTCAGCAATGAAAAATCCCAGGTGACATAGTCACCTCACATGACAGGCCGTCATTCCATGAGTTTGAAATGTAAAGGGTGGGTAGCCAGCACTTTACTGAATTCTAGGGACAGCATGTTAACAAAAACGCAAACATAGATTTCTGGGAATCTGGGAAAACTGGGACTCTGCCTGGAAACTTCAGCTCCATTTCTATATGGCGTGTGTGTGTGTGTATTATTTTTTTTTGGTAGCAAGTTAGTTAATATACAACACAAAAGATGGCTGCTTATATTTTTTTATTCTTTTTTTTTTTTAAGATGCAACTTATTTTTTTCAAGTTGCCCCAGACTGGTGAAATAATCATCTTCCATGCAGATGAATAGGCACTCAGTTTCTCCATATTGCTGAGTCATTTTTGTTTTGTTTTGCTTTTTAGGTAATAAAGATTTTTTTTTAAGATGCAACTTATTTTTTTCAAGTTGCCCCAAACTAATTGGTGAAATATTCATCTTCCATGCAGATGAATTGGGCACTCAGTTTCTCCATATTCCTGAGTCATTTTTGTTTTGTTTTGCTTTTTAGGTAATAAAGATTTTTACAGATGAGAGCATGTAGCAAAAGTCAATCATAATCAAAAGCCCAGATAAGCATTTTGTTTCTTTCCCCATATTCTCTTGTACGCAGCTGCATCCTGACATCTTCCTGCCCTTTCCTTTAACACAGCATCTAAACCCTGTACCACTTACTCCAGCCCTTCTTGCCTGACTCTAAGCTGATTTAATCAGTGCAACCAGAAGTCCTAGCAGGTGCTTTGAGTTAGGAAAAAGCACCTTTGTCTGGGAGTATTTTTTTCCCCTGAGGCAAGGAGTGAAATAGACTACAGAGAAAATGTGTTTTTTTTCAGACTCTCACCTACCAGCTGGACTTACTATTTTATGAATCAAAAATTAAATGACATTGTTGTGGTCCTCAGCCAAGATTAATAGGTAAACCAGAGAGGGAACTCTTGAATAGTTGTGTTAAATGTGATCACAAAAAAAGTCACTTCTAGCACCTGGGACAGGCCACAAGGCCACTGTTGTCACAGACCAGATGTTCAGGAAATCCTTTCAAGCAGATCAGAGGATGCTTGAACAGAATGGGACAACATAGCGGAAATGGAGAGGTCACCTTTAGGAAGAATAGCTGGCATTTCTGCATCAAGATTATATCTCTAGGACTGGGGCTGTAGTTCAGCGGCACAGCACTTGCCTAGCACGTTAGGCACTGGGTCTGGATCCTCAGGACCATTAAAAAAAAAAAAGATCATATCTCTGGGCTAGAATATGGCCTCTCCAAATTCTTTTGGTCTTAATGGTAGACAGGCACAGATGCTAGAAAGAAGGCCTGGGGAAATGCCACTATGCAGGATACATTTCAGGTTCCCTCAGCCTCCACTGTGACCAGAAAAAAAATAGAATATATTTTGAATATATTTGAATTATTTTATATATTAAATATTAACATAAGGTGTCTGTGCCAGGCAACTTGTCTCTAAAATCATTTCCCAAAAGAAATATCTGGAAGCTGGGCATGGTGGCACATGCCTATAATCCCAATGGCTCAGGAGGCTGAGGCAGGAGGATCACAAGTTCAAAGCCAGCCTCAGCAACTTAGCAAGGCCCTAAGCAACTCAGTGAGACCCTGTCTCTAAATAAAACACAAAAAAGGGCTAGGGATGTGGCTCAGGGTTAAACACTGCTGGTTTCAATCCCTGATACCCCAAAAAAAAAAAAGGAAGAAAGAAAGAAATATCTGAAAGTAAATAATAACAGCAGAAAAAATAATTGCACATCATTAATGCCCCTTTAATGCTGAGTACAGTATTATACAATTCTCAAATGCAGAAATCAAGTAAGCCCAGTGTTGCCTTGGGTTGGCTACTCAGTTCTTTATTAATCAGTTTCTTCTTTGTAACATGGGGACTCAGATTCTAAGATCCCTTTAGCTGCAACACTCTGAAATGATAACAGGGTCAGGTTTTCACTGAGGGAGAAGGCACTTACAAATTCAGAAGAGAAAAGGGCTATAATCTGTGGCTTTGGGTTGGAATTGGAGAGGTGTGTGTGTATGTGTGTATGTGTGTGTGTGTGTGTAAAAGAAGCCAGAGAGGGAACTGTTGAGTAGTTATGTTAAAGGTGACCACAAAACATCATTTCTAGTCCCTGAAAGAGACCACAAGGCCACTGTTAATCATAGACCAACCCCTTCCCACCCTAAAGCACATACACAGGAGAGTGAGTGCTGTGCTGGAAGGGGTGCTATCTTCTATAGGGTGGTCCAGAAAGCAAATATCTGAAATAGGGGGTAAGTTGTAAGAAGTGACCAGATATTTTAAAAATACAGCCACCAGGACTGTCCAAAAGATTGGATGTCAGAAAGGGAAGGAGCAGCACTTATTGACTTCCAAGAGAGGATTCTGAGAAGGCAACCATGAATTCAGAAGAAAGACTCCATTGGACATGTGAATGTGAGAAGCAGAAGCACATTGATGGTATTTAGAGCCTAGAACTGGATGAAGCCACTTGAGGAGTAAATACAGATAATGAAGAGGAATTCAGAGGTAAGTTTTGAAACTCTTCAATGTTCAAAGGTTAAAAAAGGAGGGGGACCCAGCAAGGGAGGCTGGAGAGAGTGCAATGTCACCGCAGTCAGCTGCAGAAAGTGCTCCAAAGGACTTCTGAATTAAGATAACAAACTAAGCAAGCCCACCAGATATCTCCCCCTCCCCAAACCTGATTAGAATACACTGATGACATTTTTTCTAAAGACAAAAGGCAACAAGTCATTCAACTGCTTTCCAGAGTATAAGCAATAGCAACACATTTTGGAATCCAGAAAGCCGTTGAATGAATAAGTGACTTAACAAATTCTAGTAGCTGAAATATAAGCCAAGAGAGGAGAAAGTGGAGAACTAATCATTTATCCCCAAAGAATCCTCCATAGGTTAAGTACCAGCAGTCAAGATCTCTGTAGAGAACTGAGGAGGAGTGTAGAATCTACTTAGAAAACAATAAAATCCTCCGATCCCCTCTGCTACTCTATGCCAAGAGGGAACACTCTTTCCCATGCCCAGTGGGAAGCTGGAGTTTTGTTTTCTAGAGGGAATGGACTAGCTTGGCATAGCTGGGATCATGGACACAGTTCTGAAAATGAGATCAAGGGCTGACTGCTAAGATTCCCCAGCCCTCTCCTGTCTTGGGACTGTGAGAAAGCTAGCAGTCACCTGCTCCAGGCAATTCTCCAGGCAAAATACTGGAGGATCTTTTGCGGGGAAAGTGTGGAGGGAAAATCTGAAGATTCTGACATTGGGATCATACCAGTAAATGGCCCAACTAGACAACTGACTCCACAGTGATGCTCAAAGCTTCCAATAGTTTCCTACTCTTAACCATGAGCATACAACCAGGGATTATATAACACCCAAAAAAACCTCTAATAAGAAAGGTACAAACAGAAGAAAGCATCTTGAACAAATTATGGAAGATTAAGAGAGCATTTAAAAAATCATTAATTCTCAGAAGAATAAAAGAAGCTGTTGAATCTATAAAATAAGAATAGGGTACCATAAGAAAAGAAGAACCAGCATGAGTCCAATGCCCAAATAATAGAAGTCTAGAAAAAGAAAATAGAGCAAACAAAGGAAAGGAAATCAATAACAAATCAATTAATTTTTTTCTCAGAAAGTGTCCACCAAGTACCAGAATAATGGATGAAAATCATGACTCACAATTTTCATAATCCAAAACAGTGAGAACAATGAGGATTCTCCAAGATTCTGGGGGAAAAAAGAATGGAAGTAATAGAACTTTACAAAGGAATGGGAAAATAAAATTACTTCCTAATAGCACAGAAGATTGAAGGCATTAAAACAATGCCTTCAAAATGTTGAAGGAATATTTTCAACTAAAACTCAAAAAACCCTATATGCGAAGGAAATATTAATCAAATGACAGAATAAAAACTTTTTAAACATGCAAGGGCAAGGTCTTGACTTTTTTCTTTTTTTTCCTTGTACCTCTCATACATTCTTTCTCTGGAAGCACACCACCAAAAAGGAGAAGTAAACTATAAAAGATTATGAGGAAGTGAGAAGTGAGAAAATTGGAGACCCAACACAAGAGGGAAGTAATGGGATCTCTGGCAGGATGGTGAAGGGAGATGACAAGGTAACTGCAGGAAAAAACCAGCCCAGAGTATAACAATGTGACTCAAGAGCCAGGCATGTTGAAGGTTGTCACCATTGTGCCCTCTGACTTAAGCCATCTTAAATAAATATGAAAATACGTAATAAACAAGCTTAAAAGCTTCAAAAAGTCTGGGTGACTGGCCACACCTTCCAGGCTAAGGCAGAGTTCTTAAAAACTGTAGCCTATGCTGAGAGACTAAGGAATTCACTTCATTCTGAAGTGTTGGTTTCCATACTGGTGGTTAAGTGGAGGCCATGGGGGGTTCTGGGGGCAGGACCAGCTCTGAGGGAAGAATAGTGATGAAGGGAAGGAGTCCCACTCTCTCATTCTTTACTGCTTTTAAGACCACCACTAGGTTGCTAGTTCAAACACCAATTTGAACTATATAATCACATATAAGCTCAAGCTTAACCTCTGAGGGAAGAAGGGCTTGAGCTTTTCTCCTAGGTCTGGTTCTCTTCCACCACGGGATTAGATGATGAACCCTACACAAGTCATATCTCCAGTTCCTCTTCTCAGCAAATAGTGCTCAGAAGGTCTTGGCAATCCAGGCTGGGTTTATTACTAAAGGCAATGCCCTTGCTTCCCTTGATCCTATTTCTAGATCTGGGAAGCTGGCATCCTCAGGAGTACAAATTTCATGAGGCCAGGCTCAGTTGATGAATTTAACAGACCCAACCTGGATTGCCAATACCTTCTG